TCAGCAACCTTGAGAGAATATGAAGGTGGCAAAATTCAGATTTGAGACATCTTTTGTTAATTAATTATTTGAAAGAATGTGATGCTCTGATTTGTATCGTACTGGTGAACACTGGAGTACAAATACAATGCAGTATCAATTATTTAAATACTTCTTGTAAGACAAAAGGCTCAGGAATTTCATCCTTAGACATTCCAGTGTTTGTATATCAATATACCAAAGCTTCTGTGTTTTTACATCCTGATGTCTCCTCACAGTCACTCTTACCACTGATCTGAGGAACACCTCTACCTTAAAGGCAGATATTAAAAAAAAAATAATCTTTGCACAACTCTTAACATCTGTTTCACAGTTTCTTGAAAGATTTAGCATATTTTCTTATGGAATCAGAGAGCTCATTTTCTCTGAAAATGACATAAGTTATTATTTTTTGGGGGTTTGAATCTCTCCCTGATGATTTCATTGAAAAGTGTTTCTTTTCTAGTGTTTTTATCAATAATATCTTGCACTTCATATTAAATATAATTGTATTTTTAGAGGATAAATCTTTTTAGATGAAGGCTTCAAGTTTCAACTAAAGGCTTTAAATTTAAATAAGAAATTGACTGATTGGCCTGTGTTACACAGTACCAGAGTAGCCTTGTTCATACTTAAAAAAAACAAAAAGACACACAACTTGAATAAGGAGTTAATCTTTCTCTGTACTACGAGATGTGATAATGCATAGATGGGTATCAGTTCCTTGAGAAGTTTCACCATACAAAAGTTGTTCTGCCTCTAATTCCAGTAGTGGTGGGAGATGCAGAGACAGACTCAGTGTTTTATCACCTGGTCAGTGTAAGGTTTGTGCATAGGAAGATGATCAATATGTGTTAGCTACTTTTCTGTAAACTCTGCAAAGACTCACAGAATGGTAAACATTGGAAGGGACATCTGATCCAACCTTCTCCTCAAGCAGGGCCACCCAAAGCAAACTGTCCAGGGGCATTTTAAGTCAGTTTCTGAAGACACCAAAGGTTGTTAAGATGGTCCCAAACCTCCTCTTTTCCAGGCTGAACAATCCCACCTCTCGCAGCCTCTCCTCACCTAAGAGGTTGTCATGTCCTTTGATCATCTTGGTACTCCATCACTAGACTTGCTCCAGTATGTCTAGGTTTCTCCTGTAATTGGTTATCAGTATAAGAATTGGAGCTGTTACCTGGGGTGTGACTTCACCAATGCTGAGCAGAGGGAAAGAATCAATTCTCTTGACCTGCTGGTGATACTTTGCTTAACATAGCCAAACCTTCATTCTGGCAAGGGCACATTACTGATTTGTGTTCAACTTTGTGTTTACCAAGACTCCTAGATTCTTTACAGCAGAGCTACAGAAAAAGTCCTGTCATTTTTATCAAATGTAACCAGACAAAGATGATGATGTTTCTCTGCTTGTGATTAATAATTTTTGAATTCCTTTTCATCTACTGCAGTGTTAAAGAGATTGACTGTAGTTTAGTAGTTTTCCCATTTACCTAGGAAGCGGGGGACTGAAGCAAGTGGGGTTGTTAGCAATTAATACCTTTGGCTATTTTTCTTCTATATGGTGAAATATTTCTGCTTAGTTACTGAAACTCCATTTTTCAGACCTTTTGGGATAGACATCAGAACAGTGTGAACTATTCTGCTCAAAATAACAGCATAAACAATGGCAGAGGAACGGACAGCACTGGAAAGAATGACATAAGAGGGATTTATTTTCAACCTACGTCTTTTAAATCATTTTTACAGTTCTCCAAATAATTCTGACTTCATATACATATAAATAATCACAAAGTATGCGATGTTTTACCAAAGGCACATGGTCCTATTTTTAAAATAGTGTATAATTCTATGAGAAAACACTGAAATAGGATCAGACATTAATTTTTAAAGCTCTGTTCTGTATATTGTCATTTTTAAAGAAAACTGAAGAGACTTTTAGCTGAACTGATTTCACCTATACACTAGATCAGTACTTGTGATTAGTTTCAGTGTGAACAGCAGAAGGTACTTTTTCCCATGAATTGCTTAAGTATCAGCTCAAATTGACTGTTTGTCATGCATTTATTACAAAGAATACTTGGTGACATATAAATATACTGCATTCTCTCAGTGCCTTACAGCATTTCATTATTTCAATTTTTTAAGTTCTCTTTGCAATGAGAATTCTGCAAATGATGAATTCAGCTTGGTTTCGTAATTGCCATGGCATCAAGAACTTCTTTCCCTCAAGCTACTGAAGGTATGTTTATTCTTTAACAAAGTAGAGAAATCAGAAAAACTAAACAACAGATACAATTTTCCTTGAAACTTGCTCTGGTCTCACATCTTTTACTCTATACTCATGTTTCAAAGGGTTAAAACAATTGTTTTATCTATGTGATTCCTGTTCCAGAGGGTAATATTTAGGTTGGATATATCAATCCAAGCACTCAAAGAACAAAACAGATAAGAAATAGATATGAGGATGCAGATACTGAGAAAACGTGTAGATTCTGGATAATGATTCAAATACTGTGGTAGGATTCAAAGTCCCAGAGTTGTAAAATATAAACCATGCCACTTAGATTTAAATTTGTATTTGTGCATCATAGTAAATTTCATTCTAGGCTTCCCTAGGATTCAGGCTTATGTTAAATGTTTTACTGAACTGAGATGGTAATAGTGACATAGGAAATTAGAGCTGATTAATTGTAATATTGTTGACAGGACATACTGATGCAATATTCTTGCGGTAGATGAGTTAGGGCAGCCAATTTATGAAATGTAATGAACCTGTAAGATCTTGTACAATGTACACAGTTTTGTGTAACTGGAAAAGCAGATTCTTTGTCCTCACTGCTAAGAAGCATGTAAGGTTCTAGAAAATACTTGCCTTTGACCAGCAAATCCCCAGTACAAGAACAGTGATTCTGTGTAATTCTTGTTCTGGAGTATTTGGGAGTGGTTATCTGACCTTTTTCACCAAATTGTTTTAGGGATCCTCATGGAAGAATTTAATCATTTTATCCTTTGCTTGGTTTTGTTGTTCTTTCTTTGGTTTGTGCTAGGTGTTAGAAATGTCAAGTGAGCTTATCTTTCTCAAGCTAATCTTTGGGTCCCCATGCTAAGTAACAACTGCTGCTTTAAACTATTTCTAAGTGGATTTGACCTTAAGGTTTACTCACACCAAAGAGCCAAAGAGGAAAGAGTTGAAAATATGAATGAAGTAATGAGTAAACCACTGTTCCAGAAAAGCTATCTGTCATTTTTAATTTAAACAGATTTTTCAAATGTGAACTTTACAAAATAGACATGGTAGATTGAAGGGGAAGTAATCTCCAGCCACAAAGGGCAGTGCTGGCAGAAAAGTGACCTCTGCATATGGATGGGGGAAAGGTTGGACAAAGATCACTAGTCCAAAAAGCCAAAATTAGCATGAGAAACGGGGAAAATGTAACGCCAGGAGATTATAATGTTTAAAGTAATACATAATTTCGACTGATGGTTTCTTATGTTGGAAGTAATGTGATTGTAGATATTCATTGGATAGACACGTGCCGCTCTTGAGAGAAGTGGTAACTTAATGGCCTGCCCTATGCCTCACCAAGTTGTTTAGTTCTCAGGTGGCTTTCTAAGGTATCTGTAAGCAACCTAGCCAGTGTTGAAGAGGAAAAGCCATTTGTTAACTTCCATCTTGTATCCACCAATCTCTACAGAAAAATAAGGATGTTCCTTCGTTTTGTATATTCCTGGATAAGCACTATGTTGCCCATCTCAAACATTTTCTGTTTAGTGTATGACATGAGAGAGAATCAGTAAACACTGCAAAATGAGAGAAATAAGCATCTTGTCTTGGGGCATACACGTAATCTCACAATTTTAAAATATTTTCATATGAATGTGTTACCTGATGTTTATTGAAAATGGTTTTTCTCCAGCTAGTCTATTCTGCAGGACTGCAGCTCTCACACGGAGTTGAGAGCTGGATCTGGAATCTGTGTCACTTGTGGGTTGTCACGTCAGGCAGAGTTGTGCTTCTGCCTCATGGTGCAGATGTGATGAGCCAGTTGTCCAGTTGCATCACGTGTGAGAACCACAGCAGGAAATGGTATAATTCATGAAGGAATTGATAAGGATTATAACTAATGTGAGGTGCCAACTAGTGATTAGCTGTTGTAAAAGCTAGGGTGAATACAAAGACTGAGAAGTGCCAGCTGCATGTATCTCTTATTTTAGCACAGCTGAAACTTTCAAGTATGCGTTTGGAACCATTATGTCCCAGGGAAATCTACAGATGTCAGGGCACTTGTATATTACATTCAGGAACACACCTCTGAGAGACAACTGGTTCTTACTTTTGCAAAAGAACTAGAGAAATTTTAGCTACTGATCTTCATGATTTGGCCCCTCATCTTTTTATTCATACATAATCAATTGCTACAAGTCTCTGAACCTGACAGAACTGAGTCATTTATAAAAATATAAATAGGAAAAGGCTGTTTTTAAAATTTCCATTTTCTTGTCCATAAGGCATGTAAAATCAACATATCTGCAGAAATGCAAATAGCTTACATGTGAGGACAAGCTGAAATTTAGCATTCTCAGGCAAATTACATTTATCCATCAGCATCCATAAACTGTCTCATCAACACATCTAGGCACTGCTATTTTTGAAAAACCTATTTTCTCACTTGTTGAATGTTTGAATCTGAACTTTTTTTTTTTTTTTTTTTCTCTCTCTCAAAAATTACTTCTTAGATTGACAGATTTGCATTTGAAATAAAGCAAGCATAAAAACTCCACACTGCTATGCATGGAATGTAATGAGCCATATATTTTCTGTATGAAAACTTTGAACATATAAAAATGAAAGTTTTTGTTAGGTGGCATATGAGCTTTGTATAATCAACAGATATCAAGATGTTATAATCACAATATAATCAAGAGAATTAGGCAAAGTAGACAACGATCACAAGAAGAGAATAAGTGGAAGAGCTTACCCTTCAGCTGAGCTCACCAGAAAACACCAAGAGAGGTGATCTCCAGAAGAGATCCTTCCCCTCTTGTAGCCAGCTCTTAAATAGGTCTAGGAGGGGTGGAGTCTGGCTCCACCCCTTCCTGCAGCACAGCTGAATTGCCTTCACCTGTGCTCCTCTGGCTGACTCATGGCTCGCCTCAGGTGATCAATCAGAGGTTCAGGCCATGACTCAACAGTTCCCATACAAACTTATATTAACTGATAGTTGTACATTTTTAAACACTTTGTAGACATTTTACTGCCATTATCTTTTGTCCTGTACTATAAACAAGATTTAGGATAGGAAATGATTATAGATCTATATTTAGTATTGAATTAATCATAGGCAAAACTGTGCTGTGTCCATGCTGCAGTGAATGACCTGAAGTAGGGTCTGGCCCCTGACTTTTGTTTTATTAACTTCCTAGGAGGAAATTTGATCGCCACAATTCAGTTGTTGCCATGGCCTGGCTTCAGCATGCATAGGGGCTGCTCCAAAAGTCATGCCTCCTATTTTATTATGTTGGCCCATGATATCAGAGGCAGATGTCAATAGTGTGGCAGTAGAGGTTGAACCTTCCCACTAATACTCCGTTACATTTTGTTGCTGAGCAACAGATGGCAGCAGAGGGGCAGTCTGACAATCTGGCATGGAAGTGTGTATGAAACAAAGGGGTGGAATCGAATTCTGTGGATCAACATGCCCAGTACCACCTGCATGAAAATTGTCTAGAACAAGAAAAGCATATGAATCACAGAGCTAGCACCTGAGCACTGAAGGATGACCAGATTTTCTGATCTCTATATGCTTCCAGTTTCTTTTGCTGTTTTTATTATTTTACTTATTTCACTGACAAATGTACTCTGAGTTCACAAGAGTTCCATTATTGAAGGCAAAAGTGAACAGATCTGGTATTTCTTACCTTTCTTAAGAAAAAATACTGGCAAGCAAGAAGCAAAACATAAAAAAGAGAAAGAAAAAAAGACCCCAAAAAACTAATTAAACTTACCTGAAATTTAAGGACAATTCAAATATGTAGTAGTATGTATGTATCACCACATATTGAGGTTGCATACGAAATATGTTAGAAATTAATAATGAATATTTCACATTTAGAAAAAATTATATAGTTATACAGTACACACATTCCATTTCATGTTGTTTTTATAATTAGCTGTTCTGTTCCTGATAATAACTTCCTTTTCTTTTTTACAGATGTTCATATATCTTCTATAATCAGCCATTGTACATATTTGTCTTACAGACAAATGCATTTTATGTTATGTATTGCATCACTGAATGGCTTCCAAAAATTAATTTATACGTCTAGTCTTTACAGATCAACAGAACACCACTATAAATCTTATGCCCTAGAAAGCTTTTTTTTTTTCTTTTTTTTTCCTTTTTTTTTTTTTTTTTAATAGAGTTAAATTCTCATTCTGATGTTCTGTAATCAGCTTTGTAATCAGAAACACTGTGGATATTTATTTCTTTAAAATATTAGCTTACTAAAAGTTCAAACCACTATTTATAAGCATCAGAAAAGGAATCTGCATATTTGAAATCATTAAAAGATTGATGAATGGAAAAATCCTGTTAATTTCTTTACAACAGCCTTTGCAATTAAGCCATGAATGAATACTTGTAAAAATGTTATTCCTTACTCTCTTACACTAACTGAGATGGATTTCAGTTTACAAAACCATATTTTCCTCTCCTTTAATGGCATGTATGTGTGGGTCAATTATAAGAAACCATAAACACAAGCCTTGAAGTACATGAAGTTAGGATCTGATGTCTATTTTCTGGCTGCCTTTTGTTGTAGCAGTGAATGAAGTAGAAGTAACCACAAGGAGCAAATATTGGTTTTGTACAGATGTGAACACCTCTGCATTTACCATGGTAAATTAGCCACCTGGTAAGGTTGAAGAAGGTACCTGGAGAAGAATGAAAATCCTTTAATCAACAGTGCTAGGGACCTCTCCCTTTGGCCATCTGCCAACAAATTTCATTCTGGTTGGATACAGCTGACCACATAGCAGTATCTAATCTGAAGCAGGTAACTCATAAACTTTATTTAGCATAACTTGGTGCCTTGCTTAGTTAATTACAATCTGCATCATTTCTCTGGGATTTTTCAAAATGTCTAACCTAATTTTACTTCACTAGGATTTAAATCCTTCTAATTCATTTTTTTTTTTTTTTTTTTTTTTTTGTCAACTATAGACATAGATAATTGTTTCCTTCTTTCTTTAGATGTGCCTTATATAAGCTTGTGTGTCATCTGTCTTCCTCACTGTTTACATTCTTAATCTCAATTAAATGACTCTATATTCCATCTTTGGAGACTTTCAAGGTGAGGCTGGAGAACGCTGTGGGCAGCCTGATCTAGCTGTGGCGTCCCTGTTCATTGCAGGGGAGTTGGATTAGACATCCTTCATAGGTCCCTTCTTACTCTAAGAATTCTACGATTCTATATGAGGAGTGATAAGGAAAGAGTCTGTTCTTTCTCTGTGTGAGAAATGTGTAAAACATTCATAGAAATTGTCAATATTGAGGAAAAAGTGCAAAATGAAACATAACATAACTACATAAGATTGAGGATGCATGCCTACACTCACTTCTTTCCATAAGGTGGGAACACCAAATAATCTGCCGAGGAGACAGTATGCTGCATACATACACTAATATCCTGGCTAAGTTATCATGATTGAATACGCACAAACTAAGCCTACATCTGTTAATTGATTTAATTTTATGTTTTTTTAATGCAAAAAACAGTTTTTCTTGTTAGAGTATGGGATAAACTACAGATGAATATTTTGATGTTGTTTTATGGTGTGTACAAGAAGAATGCATGTGCAGTAGACATTTCTCTCACCAAAAGTTAAGCCAGTTGAAAAGTCAGTGTTAAAACAAATCTTAGTGATTACAGTATCTGTACAAAAGTAGGCATGCCTTTAGGCTTACTCTTGAAGTGTATTTACTGGCATATGGAATAATAAAACAAACATTTGATAGTTTGGAGCAAGACCAGCATCCAAAATAGGCTCTAAATGACAAACAAATTGGAGTAGGCACTTAACATCCAGAATGAGCCAAACTATACTGAATTTAGATAGTAAATGCACAAAATTATTATGTATGGGAACATCTTTCTGAGCTGAAAGTACCTGGAAGGAGGAATAGTACTTCAGGGATGTATCATATGTTTGCTCTGTTCTTACTTGTCGTTTGACAGATATCTTCACGTACCTGCTGCTGGAGGAAGACTTGAGATACCTGACCAAGTACTGTTTGGCATTTGTATATTTTTAGTTTGCATTCAAGGGAGGATATTGCCCACTACCTTCCATCATTCCTCTCCTTGATTTACTTCAGCAGCTATTTTGGAATAATTGTAATGCCAATTCTGGGTTAAGTCACATAGAAATATTTTAACTATCTGAAATTGCCATGCTCATTTTACCTCAGCATTCTCAATGCTTTGTGGTGCTTCTGCAAGCATGTTCCACAGTGATCCAGCTCTGTTCAGCCTGGAAAAGTTATGAGTAAAATAGCTGAAGGTCATATGGCTACTATCCATGCATGGCTTAATCCTTTATCAGAACAGAAAATATCAGAAGTGAATTGCAAAGAAGGTTAAAATCTTATGCGTAGAAGAGTTTTGATGTTAGCCGATCTGGAAACAACCAGAACTGAGTGAAATATCTGCAGTGAAATGAAGATGATTATCTCTTTGCTTACTTACTCTGAACTGGTGGAAGTACTGTATGCTGAAAGCATTATTCAAATCAATGTTCATTTAATCTAATCTGATATCTAGGTGTGATTCTGTCTAGAGTCTAAGGAGATTAATGAAGCTTTTATTTGTCTAAAACTGGCATAGTCAAAACCAGGTTTATTATGACTTACATTTTTTGGTAGTATAAATTCCCAAGCCCAATAAAGTCCACCCTTTGTGCAGTGTATCTTCTGAGTACACTGAAGTGATATTCTGACCCTGAAATAAAATAGCTAACAAACATTTCAGTTTGACTCCACATGGAATTAAAATTAAGGAGATAACATTTATTTTGAAAGACTGAGTAGATAACCACAACAGCTGTAAAACAGGCAGCAAATGGTAGAATGGCCAGACTGTCCATCGTCTTAAAATAAAAAAAAATAAATAGATGGCCTCTCATCATGAAAAAAGGCTTAAATTGAAGGAACTGCAGCCTAGTCAGCCTCACTTTGGGCTCGAGGAATTTATGAAGTGAGTCATCCGTGAACACACTTCTCGGCACATGAAAGAGAAAGTGGCTGGGAAGAGGCAGCGTGGATTTAGCAAGGGTAAATCTTGCCTGACCTTGATATTTCTCTGATAAAATGACTAGATTAGCGGGCAAAGGAGAATAGTGAATGCCATTTACCTCATCTTTAGCAAAGCTAAACTGAAATGTAGTTCCAGAAAGTAGCAAGAACTTCTTAAAGAAAGTTTTAGTGCAGTTAGTCTCTGCTAAGCCATTCTGGGGAAAAAAAATCCAACAGCACAGTATGGGATCTAGTAAGCCAAAAGCAAGCGTAAACCATCTCTCAATCTAATAAGGAAACATTATTGCACCTTATGAAATTGCCTGTATATCTCATGGCTGGAATAAGTTTTTTCATTTTGTTACTGTTACCATAATCATAATTTGTGCATGTCAGATGCACAAATTCAGTGATGATCTAGAAAAATCTGAGTCAGTTCTATTTGTGTGTCATATGGAAACATATGTGCATATATATAAGTATGTATACATCTGTGATGCACGTATTGTTCAGTAATGAATTTGTGTTATAAGCAATAAAAAGCAGTACTGACTGAGACCAATGTAATGATGTCTTTTGGTAGTTTCAGCTACTGCGTAAGAAAAAGATAAACATCAATTTCCTATGCATAATTGATAGTGGTGACAATTATTAATTTGCTTTAGTAAGCCTGAAGAATTGAAGCCATGCAGCTGATCTGAATTCTAACATTTCTTTCAATTTTTAAGAAAGACACACTAATTGTACATGTCCATTTTGGTGGTGACTAGATACAGTGGTGATAGATTCTTCAGAAGTGCTGAGAGAGAGATAAAGTTAGGCTAAACTGATGTATTTCATATTATGAGCAGCTGTACGAGCCCTAAATACCATACCCAAGTGATTAATTTCTGAATGGTGGTGAAAAGAGAGGGGGTGCTTAAATAAATCAATGGTGATTTTAATAAACTGGGAGCTTCTAGGTATTAAATCTGTCTGCATCTGATCTGAATTGCAATTACCTGTCAAAAATTCATCCATCATTGCAAGTTGCAGACAAACTTTCTGGCAGCAGATGTTTCAGGAAAGCTATTTCATATGGGAAATATATCGTTTGTTGTATAGCATTCCCAAGAACAAAAAGCAAAGTAGAAAACATTTCATGGATAACAGCAGTAACTTCTGTGTCATATCCAAGCCTAATTTATTGATGAATTTAATATGTAAATGTGAATTTCCAACATAAATCAGTCAATGAAAGACTACTTATAATTCAGATGATCTCAAATAGATGTAGTAATTCAGTTTTTGAGTACTTGTGAAAGCTACAGTATTTCTAATAACTTTAAATTCATTATCAAATGTTGTCTGTTAGGTTAGAAGATTAGTACTTGCATTTCAAAAAAAAGTACCATGCTTCAACCACCATGCTATAGAAACTGTTTGCAGAGCTAGACAGCCTACAAAATGGTGTTCTACTCTCAGATATATTTTGGTTGTTTCTCCAAAAATAACACCTCCTATTTTTGTGTTAGGAAACTACAACAAAAGGAGAAAGGGCTGAATGTGGATTGCATTAAGTATTGAATTCAAAATACCTAAATTTCAGTTTCTCATTTACACCTGTTCCATCATTTGATACATGACTGGTACCGTCTCATATGGCAAGAAGGCAACATAATGAACATTTCTTTGCAGCCATCAGTGAAAATGTCATATAACACTGCTATCTCTCATATGAACATGCACCTTGAAAATGACCTCTGAAGACAGGCTGGACACATGATTAGAAGATTACAGTCCTAGCCAAATGATAGACCAAGAGCTGTTCCACTGCCACCTCTATCAAAATCCTTCATTCTGTTTGCCAATTATAATAGCAGAATCTATCATTCTTTTCAATTTTCCTTATATCAGGAATTTACTTTGTACAATTTCTTTCTCTGTATAATATTTTAAAATCACATTCCACTAAATGTTGTTTCTAACATAATTGAAAACAATTCACTTATAAATGGATCTATCTGTCAGCACTTACTTTATATCTTCTATATGATATGCTGGGCTTCTTATCTTGTCACCTGTCTGGTGTTTGAGAATTCATCTTTTATATTAGTAGCTCAGCTTGATACACTATATCAAGTGTGTTAATTTGAGTTCTACTCTCATCATCCTATAAAACTGACAGCTACCAAACATTTGGAGAAACCATCTTGATTTGTCATGTATGCTGCAATATGTCATTTTTCTAAACTCCTCAAAAAGAACAAATGCATAAATTCTTGTGGCCTCTTCCAAAACACTTTGAAAGTAATAGGACTGTTAGTTCAAGAAATGGTGAGTCAGTCTATGAATGCCTTAAAGAGACAAATAGCTTAATATATTATGGAGATTAGGAATTTTCACAATGCAGTCTGGTCAGAAACACATTTTACAACTTTGCCAACTTCCATTTTTATTCCTGTGGTCCATCTTTCTTTGTCAGTGCATAATGTCACCGCACTACATGTTTTATGCATAAAAATGCCTTTAAGAATATATTTAGATGTTGTATTTTCATTAGTCTTCTTTATTTCACTCTTGCTTATTTATGCAGTATTAGCTGTAGGTACTTTGTGCAAATCACTTCTCAGGCTTGTAACAAAAGCTTGTGTCTTCTCCAAAGGGTTTACTGCCTTAACACTGGTCTTTCCTACCATCTGTCTGTTCCCCTCTGCCAAATACACAGAGGAAAACCAAAATATGGGAAGCAAATGGTCATCTGCATTTAACAGTGTAATACATGGGTGCTTGAACTGGCACTGTGCACTAATTAGAGAAGAGATTCTATTTCTGGATAGTTAATGAGAAGTAGTAAGTAGAGTGTAAATTACAGTGAACCTTGAAAGTAAAGACAAATAACTTTTTTTAATGCAGTAGAGAAGCTGGAGCCAGCAAGGGGAAAATAGAAAGGCAAATGGCATGGAAAATAATCCTGGCAGGAAGCTTCATAATGAGCAAATGGGGAAAGATAACTCGTATCCAGCCCCAAGCCCAGCAATAGCTAAGACTGAAGGGTGCAAGCCTAAAACTCATCCTTTTCCTCTCTCTGGTATAGGGATCTCAAAAGGACAACAGCCAGTTTTAAGGGCAGATGAAGAAGCAAATGCTTCATTCTGACTATGACAACCAGATGGCATGGAGCACGCTGAAGCAACCACCAAGCAGTGCCTTGAAGAGCAGTATAGCATCGGTGCGAGAAGGTCAGATGTTGGGGCATGATTTTCTGGGGCTTCACATCCACGAGATGGTGTAACAGCATCACTAGATCAGCAGAGGAAACAGCTTTGAGGTGAAGTGGTATGGCATGCAAATGAGCATTTTCTTGTCCTGATGGGTTACTTGGCTCCTTGTGCTAATGGTGAGGGTATGATGAGAACCTATTTAGCTATCAGCCATAACTGTGTTGCTTAAATTGCTTAAAGAAATCTTGTGAGGTGACAGTGGATTCATTATTATAGAAAAAAATAGGACTTACCCTGGACAGGGCAAGGTGCCAGTGCCAGTCAAACAATGCCTACTTGCTTGATTAGAAGCAAACCATTTGAAAGCAGAATTCTCCACAATTGGTGTTTTTAATTTTATTTTGCAATGAAAAGGTTATTGAAAAAAGATGTTGCAGCTACTTTGATCATGCATTCCTACAGCTTTAAACTTATTCGAAGTACAGACCACACACATTTCAGGCTTGTATATGTAATATATTTCAACACTGCTAAAACACCTTTGCTCTCAGCACAGAAATATCATGAGAAGGGATTATAGAAGCCCACTAGAAGAAGGACAAGAGGTCTAAAACATAAAATAACTTCATTAAAATGATTTTATTTTAATGATAAATAATAATAATAATAATAATTATTATTATTTTAAGTTTGACAAAATAAACAGAACAACCCTTTGAACCATTTTCCTGAAAGAAGTGACCAGGTATTTTAGAGGCATTTTTCATTTTATTAATGACATTTTATTAGAAGAATGCAAAACGTAGCATGCAGTAACTATGAAGGCATTCGGGGTCTTTTTTATTATGACCATGAACATTTATTTGTGGGATAAAATTGCTCATAAACAGTAAAGTCTGTTACTATTGTATATATATATGTGCCTGGTTCTGTTAGCTATTGCTTTACCCATGACTACCATAAATGCAGTACTGACTTTAGATGCATCAAATGTAATGAAAATTATCATAGATCCAATACTGCATGACCACAATTCTGATATTCTTCATTGTGTACTGTGAGCTTTCTTTTATTAAAGAGAACAAGTATGAAACTTGAGTCATCCAAAGGAATTGCAGTTTGCAGCTACCTCCCAAAACTATGTGTTGATACCTAAAGAAAGCAACTTAATCCAGTACTTCTCAACCCACTCAATAAAGAGACAAAAATTTCAGTTTGTACTACAATAGCCTTCAAGTCAACTTAAAGATAAATAACGTTCTTTGCTGGTTTACATTAGAAATCAAGCGTCTTTGTTCTGAATAACACTGTGAACAAATTAAGCAAAAAGAAGCACATCTTTTAGCTTTTTTTCAGGGTCTTAGTTTATAATTTTTATATACTATATTTGTTTAGTCTATCCAGCACAAGGCTGCAGTAATGATGTTTAAGTAGCATTGAGGACAAAATATATATATATTGTATCAGGAAACATTTCCTTACCTTTTCCCTTTCCTAATCTAAACATGGACATTTTTCTTAATGATGTCAGAACTTTGAGGCCCCTGTGTACAATCACTAGGTGTACAAAAGTTAGGCTTAGTAAGATTATCGAAATGGAAAGATAATCAAAATAAATGGAAATACTCACCAATGTTGTAGACCTTGCAATAAACTCCACAAGGAGCAGTCTCCAGAAGGAAATCCTTCCTCAGTGGTAGTCAGCATTTAAATGGGAGAGATGAAGCCAGGCTCCACCCCTTCCTTCTGTGGCTGACTCATTGCTGCCTCAGGTGGTCAATCAGAAGTTCAGGCCATGATCAACAGTTCCCATACACCATGTTGAGATCCAACTTTTCAGTTGAGATCCATCTTTTCAGTTCTCCGTAGGAGATCCATCACATTTTCTGTGATGAGAAATCTAATTCATACTGATCAGTGTGTTACTGATGCATGCAGAGCTCAATGAATTATTCTTACAATGCAGAATCATCTCCTGCCACATTTGGAAAATATTTTCAAAGCTCCATGTAACTCAATATTGTGAAAATGTCCCTGGTGTACAGTCTAAAACTGTTGTTACTGGATCCCAGCGCCAAATACACTGTGGCCATTGTAAGCTCATCACAACTGTGATGTCTGAAACATTAAGCAAGTTTCTATTCTATATGCAGGTCACAAAATCTTTTTTCTAAGGAAAAAAGTCAGAAAATCCACTTAAAATTCTCTCTTTTCAACACAGAAGATGAATAACTAATTAGGTAAAAAGAAAAAGAAATTGATTTTTGTTTTATGCAAGATGATAGTTTAACTTCTTCTTGGAAAGTGATTTTGCCTAGTAGAACACTGTGTAGTCTTTCCATCTCTGCAAAATTTGTCATTTTATCAATACCTAACCAAAAATTTATGTTTTGTTGAACTGTTGAACTAAAGCAGAGAGCGTTTTTATATTTACACATGTGACTTATTGCCCCTTATGTTCTTGAGACTTCTCAGAAAATTGAGAAGGCTAAGGACACTTCCAAATCTTCCATACAGAGCTGACTCTGAGATAGTCAGAGTTTTTTTCCTAACTTTCCTTGTTTTTTCCTTTTCGCTCTTTCTTTTTTTGAATTATCTCTGTTTTGATTCGCATTATGGCTTTTAATACTAACACCTGAGCACAAAAAATGAAAAATTAAGATACTGTTCCACTTGACTTAAACCATTATGCTAAGCTGTTGAAATAGTCTGAGTTATGCCAGCTATAGAAATTAGGTGAAGATAATTTTGCCATGTGTAAAAGATTTCAAAACTAATTGCATTCATTTTCAGCTAGGGAACTGTAGTATTTAGTACTTCCAGTTTCAATGAGCTTAAGCTGTTCTTACTGGATTCATACAGAAGTCATGGAGTCTTACTGGAGTCATACAGAAAAGTCCAGCAGCTAAAAAAACCTAAGAAATAGAATTTTAAAAAAATAATACTTTGTGTGGTTTAACAGCCTACTTGGAAAACATAATATTGTTTAGTTTCATAGCAGATGAAGAGAACTGGTTTTTTGGTTTCTGAATATATATGGCTATGATTTAGCATAGCAAGGCAATAACTAGCCATGACTGTAGAAAAGAATATTATGAGACATATTTTCCTGGCTTTTTTAAAATTGAAGCTGTGTCATTTCCACTGTAAACTTTTTCCTTATCTATCCAGTAGCCTGTCTTTTTTTCTTGCACTATTTCAAGTCTACAGTTAGAAATCTGCAATGCCAAATCTGTCTCATTACTGGGGGAGATTTATACAAGACAGAAGGTAAATGGGTACTAATTCTGCTTCTATTTTCATGTTCTGTAGCAACCAGTGCTAGACCAGGTCTGCAGGATGACTACCAGGCCAGGAAGCCCACTGAGTTTTTGCCAAAATGTGGTCAAAATTATAGGACCCTTGGATGGATGCCAGGCACTGTGTTTGTAACCAGCAGGCTCAGGCAGGGCATGACCTTAGAAGGCACAGTACTGATACTGGCATCTCCAAAATGCCATACATAAGGTGCACCAAGAGGTTTTGTTTGTTGTTTTCATACTGCTGTAAGCCAAGAGCACCCCTTGCAGGAAATTTGTGCCCAGATGCACAAAGTATGTCAACCTAAATTCCAGACCTCTGTACTGACAGGGTTAATTTTACTCCTCTTTTGAATTTGCTTGTAAATGCATCCAGAAAATTTTCTTATCAAGTCTTCAATGGAAAAAAAAAAAATAGCTTATAGAGTCAAATTTTACAGCTGAGAGTGTGCTCAGACTTAGAAGTTTCTATCTGTTTGGACAAGATATTTTCATTTCCGTTCCCAAGCAATGGCAAGTATTGGACTTTTGCCTAATACAGCTTTAATCATATTCAGGTACTCTCTCCCCAAATAAAATCTTCTGCCCAAAGGAGCTGTGGGCATATTCACAGATTCATCTGCAGCAAAAGGACAGTGAGAAGCAGTAGGGGACTATGTTGTGGTTAGCAGACATGACATGGCAAAATGGACTTTTATTAAATGTAGTGTTGGCCAACAGAGTATGGAACAAAGCTACTACTACTACTCTTAGATGTCAAAGTGTTTTCCTCATAGTTATGTGGGGGTTTTGTTGTTGTTAGTTAGTTAGCTAGTTAGTTAGTTAGTTAGTTTTACCTTCATGGAATAACTGGCAAAGGTATTCTCAAAATAAGATATTTCCTCCAACTTGTACTTATTGTCTCTTCAGATAAAACACCATAAGCGAGACAGAAGGATGGAATAAAGGAAAAAAACTATTTTAGGACATCTGTAAATAAGGCCTGTGGATTTCTTTCCTTAAATTCTTCAAACATCATTTCCAACCTTGCAATTCTATGATTCTATGATTCTAAACAGTCAGTAATTGTAACTGTCTAAAAATTTATCTTCTTTTCACAAATAATTTTGATTTTTTCAAGGTGCCTAAAAGCATTTTTCCATTTTGAGACACTTCTAATTTTCAAAATATGACAATTACAAAGGGTGAGGCAGATTCTTAAAAAAGAAAAAAAAAAAAAAAAACAGCACTGAAAACATGAATTTCTTCATGAATTTCTAATATATATACATACTAATATGAGAGAATCATACTGTACTCTGACAGGTACAGTCTTGTAGCAATAATTTCCAACAACTGCATGTCCTGGTGGGCCACGGAAATTAAAATTTTGCACAGTTAGCAAGATTTTTATTCTTTATAATCAAGTCATGGAAAATTAAATATGTGAGATTTAAATGGAAGAAACACAGGACTGTCATATGTCACCCTATAGATGGTGGTTGCAGTTATATGGGCATCTCTGATATGTTCTTGTAACAATGAGCTGGGAAATAATATTGAAATAGCTTTAAAATTCCTACAGCAATGCACCTATATGGAGATAAATGTCTTTAAATGTATCTTTAAGCAATTGTGTAAATATCCAAGCTAAGATTATTCATATGAAATTGTAATAAAGCTCTGAACACAAACAGAAATTTGGAAACTGCAGCTTTTGGCTGCCTTTCAAAAAAGGCATTTTATTTTCACTCTGCATCTACTAATCCAGAATGAAAATACAATTGAGATTGAAGGGTAACTGCTGTGTTCTGCATTGATTGTGCAAGTTATTTTACATAGTTCTGGGAACATACAAGTTTTTCATGCTTTCATTTATAAAAATATTGCACAATTAGGTGTCTGGGGTAGGCTACTAATAATATGAGAGACAGCTCTTTACCTTGTACTTGTAAGAAAACATGCTGGAACAGTAAGAATGTTCCATGTAAATGGTGCCCTTGCATAAGTTTAACACTCCAGTTCTGTCTTCCTTCCTTCTCAATTTATTGCCTGATTTTTATTGACTCATTTTAATTTTAAAATCCCCAAGGTGAGGTCTTTATGTTCCTGCTCATCTAAAAAGCATCATGAAGCCTACAGGGATAAATACGTATCATTCGTGATTAATGCTTAACGAGGTGCCTTGCAGTTCTTGGCCTTAATATTGACTGTTGGCTTACGCATGCACCAGCCAGAAAGTGGCATTAAAAATCATTTTTTCTTAGACCTTGGTGTGTTCCAGTACGTGATATGTGTAAAATGGTATGGGGTTATGTTTGTTTTCAACCACAGATTCCATCTTTGCTAGATTGTAGTGAAAAACATGAATTGTTCTGTGGTTAATTCATATAAGAGAGATTATATTTTACAACTGAGGAGGTCAGAAGCTTAAATTATTTCAAACAAAGCTCTAACATCTTGGATGATGTTTTTCCTATTTCTTTGTTTTCTTGCAAGTTCTCTTTAGTAGAGAGATGTAGTTTCACACTATTAGTCTGTGCCTCTTGCGCTTTCTAAATTTTTGTTCTTTAACGAATAGATGAAAAACATAAGCAATGAATTTGCCACCAAAATACACTCAGTGTTAATCATTCATTTGTAATTATTAATAGTTGTTCTTCTAAGCATCTTGGAGTACATCACAGATAAAGTGTCAGTTTCTCCATCTCTCATTTGCACTGATTGATACCTCAACATGATGTTTCAAAGTTGAGTGTAATTACTTACTAATTTCCCAGTGTAAAAACTATTTATTTTACAGTAGCATTTTTTTAACCTTCTTTTAAATTATAAATATTCTTGACAAGCCTTCAGTCATTGAAATATGGAAACAACACCAGTAACAAAGAGGAAAAACAAACAAACGACAACAAAAATTACCATAATTCTGAAAGTAAATACTGAAAATCTTACTATTTCTTTTAGGTATGAGTCATTTTTGGAGCTTGGCTGCCTTTGCGAACAGTTTTAAATTGGTGAAAAAAAAAAAGCATTTTTAGTAGGTGATACTCGCCTTTTTTTTTTTTTTTTGGTCATATAGTCCTTCTTGACCTTGAGATCCAGACAAGATTTGCAGATATTGTGCAAAACAGCATTTGATATGCAAAGCATTGGTTACCAGCTCCTGAGTTTGCCTGAGCTTGTTCTGTTTAACAAACGCTCTGCTGGGATTTTTTTTTTTTTGATCAGTTGAGCTTGTTAGCACATGTAAGTAATTCATGGAAACCACTAATTTTCATATTCCTCTTGTATACTTCAAGTTTTCATTCATTGAGCTTGTTGGGATACAGCTAAAATGAATGTTTCTTGCTCGATTTTTCTCCACAAAAATAAAATTGCTCTATTTTAATCTATTTCAAAGTAATAGAAGTCTAGGGGGAAGGAAACAAACAAGGAAATATTTTATATGTGGATTTATCTTTTCATTTTTTAGCAGATGAGTCGGATTTTTCCATAGCCACCTTTTGAAATCACTATGTTATTTTGTCATTTCTTTCTGAAAGAGTAACAGTACTGAATCTTTATCATATTGATCATTTTACAAGTTTTCATCTGGGGTCCAAGATAATACATAACATTGTTATTGCATTATTATTTTTCATTTGTATCCTATTGATTTGCTGCCAGCAACTTACAGGTCAATTTACAAAAAGATGAGATATGATTTATTTTTTTTCTAAAAGATTATGCCACAAAGGGGATGTTTTTATTTTTTTATAAGGCTGTAATATCTCAGGGTTTGTTTTTTCTTCTCACAGGAATGCAACACATTCATAAATTAGTAGTGAAGTTCTACCTGAATTTACACCCAGAGTATCCATGGCTTCTGTATAATTCATATAAGTGGCTAGGCACAAGCTTACACTTAAATTAGAATTTTACTCCCAGGCATGGTTCTTTTGTCATTTCTTCCTGTTTAACTTAGAAATAATACCATAATTTCAGTATAGGTATACACACATAAAAGGGATTAGAGAGACTTTATATATCTAATCACAACAAGCTGCCAAGGTTTAAGACATCCAAATGACAGCTACTAAAATTATACATGAAGATTTATTTTTGGCATTGACCAGCTTAATATCTGCACTGAAAATTCCCTTCTTACTAGGATCTTGCTCTTTCCCAAGGCCCTGCAATTCTTCTCCAAAACATTGGTATGAGTTTCTCCCATGGGACCAGCATTTAGCCTTGCTCATTTCTCAGACATTTATAACCTTTTGTGGCCAACCTGCTTTGCCAGCATAGAAGGGCTGAAGAATTCTTGCATTCTCCATTCTCCATATCTGTACTGGAATGGGTACCATTGGGTCATGGTTTGCAAAAATGTTTGTTTTCTCACCCACACCTCCCTAAAAATGTACTGACAGTACATTACTGTTAGCACACTTGTCTGTATTTAGGAGGCACACTTAAAAAGGAAATCAGGAATACTTAGCCAAATTTCCTTACTACTTATTTTTATTGTCATTAGAGTTTAGCTACTTGGAAAACAAGTATTAAAGGAGTATGTGGAACAGCGTAGGTATGCATGTGTTTTTATTCCTTCAGTATAAATCTATCACATAATTTTCAAGGGGTTGTTTTTTAATTATTTAGTGCTAAATGTGCTAAATGCAGTGAGCTTGTGTATATATACACCCTGATATGTGCTATTATTTTTCTCTGGAACCCATCCAGGTATATCAAACCCACAGTGAGCAACACAGGGCCTTCCAGTTCATGCTATGCTTACAGTGTATTGAATTTGTCTGGCATACTTTCAACAGGAGCAAGTCTGACGAGAATTTTTATAGCACAGAATACCTTTTCTGACAGTGAAAAAATTCAGTTTTGGAAATGATCTGGCATTCCACACAGCCTTTTAGACTGAAATCAGATACTGACATTACACCATACTCTTCACGACACAGGACACTGAAATAATCTTCTCGGTTGACAACCTCTATTCTAAATCACAGACCATTCACTGACCTTGAAAGTAGAACAAAGTCCAGATCAATTTCTTTTTCTCAATGTGGCACAAAAATAATCAAGTAGCCGAAGGTGATGCCTGTATGTCGTAGGAATATTTCAAAGACTTTTTTTTTTCTGTTGCCTTATTTGTCTGTTTTGTTTCATATTTTGACAAAAATTTGAACAGAACTGTATAAGAAAGGAATATTTAAAATATAGATGTAAAATCTCAGAACATGCTGTGGCAAATATTTCCCTATGCTTTTATATTAACAATGAAGAGAAAAGATGACTATACTCCAGCACATCTTGGGATTATTTTTAATCATAATTGAATGATATAGTGCTATTTATAGACAGAGAAGAGAATATAATTTTGCTTTCTTGATAGTATTCATAACTTTCAGTTATGTTTCACTTGAGCGTATATTTTAAAAATGTATTGAAAAAAAGACATCAGGAAAAATGCCAAATCCTTTAAAGTATTCATAAGATTTGTTTTTTACATATTTTTTTTAATTTATTTATTTACTGAGAGAATCAGTAGGCAGAATGATGAACTGAAATTATTGATGGTATACAGCCCACAGTCTATGAGTAAACATGTTTCAATTTTCTTTTAAATTTGCTACAGAACTATGTTTATGATAAGCTTTGCTGTACATTTTAATTATATAGAAGTAAAAAGAAAACAATGAAATACAAATTACTTAAATGCACATTGCCAGATAGGGAGTGGGCAAAGAATTATTATATTAATTACATCTATTTTCAGCAATAAAATACAGTCCTTGCATTAAAAGATGGCCCTAATACATTAATATTAAATTCTTCCAGAATTCTCTAATGCACTTTTCATTGTTTGATATAATCCTAGTCCTGGGCAAAGTTGAACAGCTAATCTGCTGGCAGGGTAGAATGTGTCCTTCCACAGCCAGTAGGTCTTTGAAGGGTTACTGATCACCGTCTGCTAACTTGGCCCTTATAATGTGAATAATTAATGGAAAGATCCCAAATGTTGAATAACAGGTTCAAATTTGCATTGAGGATAAACGTATTTATCTAGCTTTAATGCAATTACTTATACTATTTCCTAATATCAAGGCATCTCTTTCAGAGATTTTTGTATGTAAAGCCATCTATTCTGGTAAGTTATGAAAGCACATTACAGGGCTTTGGCAAACAATTCTATTTTATACAGTGTTATTATGGAGGAGCTGCCCAAGCAAATCAAGTTAGCAGTCTGCACATCAGAGCCTTAATCATCTGAGTTTTGCCTTTGCACACAGCAGCAAATAGGTCATTCATATTATAATAACCTTTAATTTAAGTTCAGCCAGTGTTGCAAAACCAACAAATTGTTTAGATATTTTGTTTCTGATATGAACACTTATTAGATCAGATTTCAGAAGACATTTGATGGCTAACCTTTGTCAGTATCATGACTGTATACTGCACAGAGCTATTGTGTTTCTTTTGTGGGCATAGACGAAACATTGCATAGATGTTATCAACGATCCCTTAGCGGTCAATCAAAATATAATTTATTCCTGTGCAGTACAGGTAAAACATATATCTACAAACTCTTTTTCCGGGGAGAGAAGACAAGATTTCATGCCAGATCAAATCATGTAGATTAAATGTCAACAGCCATAAACTTCAGGTAAGACTTGGAGATTCAATTACTGGATTATGCTGGGCTGTTCTAATTCTTCATAAATCTTTTATATATGTCTTTTGATTTCCTTACATTATATCTGTGATGATAAATTATTGCGTGATGACACAAACATACAGAAGCACCCAAAATTAAACTTGCTAATAAAACCTCTGTTAGGAAGCAAATGCTTCATTAAAACCAGAAGTTGTTATCACAATCTGGAAGTGGTGTGGAGAGGACATTGTTCCGTGATAATAAACATATTTCTCAATTTAATGTTCATATATTCTTTGAAGAGGACCAATTTCCTCAGTCAGTGCACTGGTATTCTACCATTCAGCATCAGGACATTTGTAGATAGGGCACTCCTCCTCCTCCTATGCAGTTCTACAGCATAGATTATTGCACAGCTTTATTTAAGAATAATTGTCTTCTGGTAGTTGATATTTCCCATTTTTCATTCTTTCATATTGACCTAGAATTCATGTACAAAATACGTGTTTTTTTACACAAATTACATACATGTATTGCTGTTCTTTTTTCCTGAACAAGTTACAAGTTGTGTCAAAAGTCTGCTTTAATGTTATGTTTAAAAGTGGAAACAGAAGTCCCGAGTTTCTTGATTTTGTTAAAGCCCGCTGAAAAGAAGAGTATTTCCTCCAATATCAGTGGTGTGACCATGCAATGTATTTCTGAACAAAAGCTGAAAGTTTTTTGTGATGATTTTTTCCCTCAGTTGTCTCTTCTGTTCATACTTCTAACCATGCAATGAGAGCAGTGAAGTGCACAGTTTATATTTCTGTGTCCCAGCACATCCTCATCTCCCAAACTTTTAGTTCTTAATAGTTTTCTTTTTCTCTTTTTTGAGTTATGAAAAGATCCAGCCATCACAAGAATCCAGACACTATGTTTTTCATTTGTGCTGTTTTTTTTTTTTTGTTTGTTTGTTTGTTGTTGTTTGCTTTTCTTTACTGTTTAATAATAATTCAAGGAAGCATTTTTTAATTTTTAATAATTAATTCTCTGAAAATTAAGCACACAGGCACTGTAACTACCTCTCTTTTCCCCATGACATCTATAATTGTTACTAAATGAATCTAGAAGCACCACAATCATTGGAAATCCTGTTGGGATTTAACAGGTGGCCATATGCTACTCTCGATTAGAGGAAGCAAAGGGCAGCAAGATGAACCTGAAAACCTGTCAAATGTAGGCAGAGCTGAGAGTTTACTACATTCCCACTTGGGTACCCCAGGACATATTTTTGCAAAGGGAAAGCTCATTAGCTGCAAGAGAGCAAGTAGCAGTACTCTGTGAAATCTTGGGATACGCAGCATGCTTTCCATCAGGGATGTATATATTACTGGCGCTCAGCATCTGAATACTTTCTACTATTCTCCCCGCAAATCTCCACAGGTCCAGAACAGAGCAATTCTATTTAGCTTGTTGTGTATAATTTATTTATTTATTTATTTTTTGCTAGAAAGAAGGTGCAGCAACACACAGTTGTTTTGGCTTCTCCATGCCTGGTTTGCTGTCAGTGTGATTAGAGAGAAGGAATCCTTCTTGAAGGTTTGGAAAACTAATGAAATACTGTGAAGTTAGTTCTTTCAAAGATGTAGATTTTAATGTAATCTTTGCTTTGAATGTATGTGTTTGTGTTTGCAATATGTATGTACATGCATGTTTTTAAGGGCTTCCAAAAATATTCCTTAATTTCTATTTTTTGAATTCTCAACATGTTATTTTCAGTTTTATGTATTCCCACAAGTAAATTCAACTTGATATATTTTTAATTATGGGCTGTTTGATGACTTGTACAATTGATATCACATTTTTTCCCCACTGCAAAACATATATCTTAGATTTTAAAATAGACTCAGTATGATGGATGGAAAGCACCTTCACCTGATGATGCTCCAAACCAATCCTGTGGTTTGCACTTTAGCAGGAATTTGGTTCACGTGCCACATCCAGCAGCCAAGAGGACTAAAACAGACATTTTTTCCCCGATTCATAACTTTTTTATTCTCTCAGTGGACACCAGCCCCTATATTAGAAGGTCTGTTTGCATGAGCTAAGAAAAATCCAGAAAAAAAAATGAAATACAAAATAACAGCAAGATCATGAAGAGGTATTCCATTTTGTCATAAAATCCAATAAAAGCTGGGATTTCTTCTCAAGTATTTACAAGAGACTTATGAATCTTTCGCCTCTCTAGTGCATAATTTGTGTTCCAGTCTCTGAGTTCTTCTGAGTAAAAGGTAACTCTGTTCAGCAAGTCCTATATCTGCAGTCACTAGCAGGAACTTATTGACCAGCTACGCAGTAGAGCTTGCAATGTATTTTCTTTCTGTACTGTGGAAGCCATTAGTTTTTAAACTCCTGTAAGACTAGAAGAGTATTCACCGTGGCAGCACAGAAACACCTAAGGTCTGGACTGCCTACTCTGGGAGATCAGTGTCTTCCATTTCTGTCAGGTCCCAGTCCTCTTTTGATAAGGGGCATTTTGTTCAACCCATGCCAGATTCTTCACTCACTGCTAAACTGTAGATTATCTGCTGTTACAGGGATCGTCCACAGAAGATCCATGACTACATTCACCTTGTAAGACAGTTCATTTTGCTGGGCTAACTTCTGCTTCTTACTTTTCTGCATAGTAGCTTTTATTCAGTAAACTGAACTGCTGAAAGTTGGAGCTAAAATTCTGAGCTAAGTCTGCTCTTCTAGTCTACAGTCTATAGTGAATGATAATTCCTTCCTTGTTTTCTTGTTTGTTTTTCAGCCATCGCACTCCCTACTCCATTATTCCCTTTAAGAATATTTGGTCATGCTTTTCTTAAATTTTCGTATCACTTAAAAATACTTCTATCAGTCTAAAGAAAAAAAAAACACCTTTATTTAATTTTTTTTTTTTTTTTTTCCTGGCAGGATGTCTTCCAAGAGCTGAGGTGTCACATCTGAATTAAGTTCACAAAGGACAAACCAATTCTGAAGTAAGTACTATTGCTTCTTTTTAACCATTAGCACTGATATTTCCCACGGTAGTTGCTTTTTAATAAAATCTAAATATGTGAAGTCATTCTGGCTTATTCCCTGAATTATTTAATCATCTATGGACAGGCATGAGGATCTTCAGAAATGTCTAAATTAGTTCAGAATGAGACAACAATGCATGTGTTTTACTACTGAAACAGCATACCAAAGAAAGTGTTAGACTTTGTCTTTTCAGTGCCCTCAGATTAAGACTTGGTGCCTTACTAGCTATACATAGCACGGGCTACTTGGAAAGATTCCAGGGCCACTGGCTGAGGTTATTTACTGTGTTATGCAGGTGGTGAGTCTAAATGATCTAATGATCTTTATGCCCAGAAAAATCTCTTATTCTACGTAATACTCTTGACCTTTTTCTTTGTCACTTATTTATCTACACTTAGGAAAGGCTGATGTGTGACTTATTTTACTGATGGCATGCCCTGTGTCCCCATACCATTGTTAATGTGCTGTGATTTTTTATTCAGTCATTAAAGTACTATTAAAGACCTCAATATTGGTCTTTATGTGGTCACTGGAAGAGTTTTAAGCAGGTTGTTATTACTCTTAAACTGTCTTGCACTATTCAGCATACTCTAAGCAGCAATTACAAAACGGGTTACTTAACATCAAACCTGTACACAGTAAGCTGGTGAAATATGTTTCAGAGGTATAATTCACCCATCCACCAGAGCACAATAAAACACCATCTGTATTTCTGATTTTATTGGTTCTGTCTGCTTTCATCTGGTGCCTGAACATTTTATCTGTTCATACTGTTTTTTCTAATGCAATAAAAAGATCAGACAGGATTTTGCCCTTTATTTTAAGTGTTTGCTGCATTTAGAGGTAAATAACAACCACTTTTTGTGTTGTATATATTCAGACTCTTGAAGGAAGAAAATATTTTGAGAATAAGCATTCTCTACTGCATCCAAAGTATGGTTTAATATGAACAGCCTCTTCTTAACATCTTGTTTTTGTTTTGCTCTCATATGTGCCTGTCCCTTTCTACTTCAAAAACAAAGGAAGTGGAGTGGAGGAACTGATTTCCTTGCAGTAGGTTTGCATGTTGAAATAGTTGTCAGGTATACCTACCTTATAAAAATTTCCCCTTGTGCCATTTCCTCCAGTTGTCTCCACAGCAACTTGCTTTGTCATCTTCTACAATTGCTATGGAAGTGAATGCATGTGTTCTTATTAATCTAGCCGACAACTTTATTCCCAAGACAGCAGCATCATCCATTAGGGATGGGTAATAAAAGTGTCCTAATATTCTCCCATCTGCTATCCATGCTTCCAGAAGACTCATCTCTCTAGCAGAAAGGTGGCAGAGATAGACCCCATCAACTTGTGGTCTGCATGGATTGTTTCCAAAGTGTGATAGAGCCTGATTCTAGGCCTCAACCTGCAAAAAATAAGTTCAGATTGGAGCATCTAGTTTTTGATACTGTGTCCTCTAGCTCAGTAGGATACATCTCTGGGATTTAGGGATTTATGTTTCTTCATGCATTTTAAAAGAAAAAGTGATGCATGGGATGCATAAAAAATAAATTAGGGAAATACAAAATTTAACCAACCACAAATGCCCTTAGCCATGTCTGAAATGCTGCTGAAAGGTGCATCACAACACAAAAATTAGAGAATTTCAGTACAATGGTCTAATTTGAACTAATTTCTGACCATAGGGATCAATCAGGACTCTGAATCATATACTTTCCCATAAAATAATGCAGGTGAGGCCACTCTATAACTTATTAAAACACTGAACAAGTCTTTTAGCATATGTAAACTTCCATTCCCCTCAGCTCAGAAGAGCCTAGCGGGGTTTTAACTTGGTGGTGGACAAAGTATGGGTCCCCCATTAATTCTATCAAATCTATTGCCCTTTGCATGTAGAAATTAAGAATTAATTCATCCAGAGAGACTGAGCAACTTAGTCGTTAAGGCTTCACAGGGAGAGGAAAGATTTGGATTCCAGTCCCTGCAAAGATGGATTCTAAATCGTTTACATCAGGAGTGAGATGAGTAGAGATCCTCTCTTAAAAGCAGATAAGTCTTTTCAGAAATGAGCTGACACTATGAGCACCAAAACAGATCACAGGAACTACAATAAAAATCAGCGTTCTGCCAAAGCTAAAGGGATAGGAATCTGTCAGGGAGAATGATGGAGCAAGAAGAGTTTATTATAACAGGCAAAAGAAAAAAGCAAGTGAAAAGTGTAAGGAACTGGAAAGGACTTTAAGGAACACAGTGCTGTTTAATGGGGGAGAAACTGAGAGACAAGCAGTTAACAAGCCAGTGTGATGATTAGCATTTTTTTCAAGACAATTTGCAGAAAGTGACAAGTTAAAGGCTTTGATTTGCCATTTTCTCACTCTGCTCATGTACTTATATCACTCATTCAATACAATAACCTATCCTAAGCAGTTGTAGGAAGCAGCATTTTTTTGGTTAACTTTTAAATAAGGAAAAAAATTGGAATTTGAAGTATGCATTTCTTTAATAGCTAAAGGGTAAAATAAAGAAGTATAGCTGAGTGAAATTTTTGCTTGTCATTTGATACATTAACATTCAGCATAGGAAGTCCAAAACTATGCAGTTCACATGATGTCAGTCTTTGTCTCCATTATAAAATTGTATCAAAATGAAAACATTCATTCCTGAGCTTGGAAGACCCTAATTCTTCAGATATTCCCTTAATGGGAGTCATGAGTGTTATTTTATTTGGGAGTCAGAAGTGCTGAGATAAGAAGCAGTAGCAGTTTTGGGATTTCTTTCTTCCCTTCCTTCTTATTCCTTTCTATTCAATCAGGAAGAAGTGCAATCTAGGTAAGTAAGAGCAAGGCATCCTACATTAAGATAGCAAGTGAGGTTGAAAAGTCAATCTTACAGGCTTTAGAGGAGCTGATACTAGTAGAAAAAGAGTGCCTGCCGATCAAAGCCAGAAGATATAAACATCCTTCGATCTGCTTTCATAAATCAACAAAGCACATAAACTAGAAAAAAAATGCTTTCCTCTGGTTTGTTTCCCAAAAATGAGAAACTGCGAAAGCCTGTAAGTAAGGAGTGAATATGAGATAGTTGTCAGTGTAATGTCAGCTTCTAGTAGAACAGAAATAACTCAGAAATCTTGGAATAAGTTCTCTACTGCCTTGCACGTTGTACAGTCTTTTAATCAAAAGCCAGAATGAATAGTTTCCATCCAGCCTCAAAATACCATGTTGTATTATGCAGAAAGAGGACTAATGCAGAAACGTTGCTTTTCCTGTATTTAAGATCTAAAACCACTACTATGCAGGGTTCTGCTTGAGTAGTGACTTCAGTGGCATTCCTTTTTCCTTTTGTATAAAATATATTTTGGCTTATGTTTTCTTTCAGCATACTTCTATAAATTCTCGTGGGACACAGTATGGGAGCTCTTCCAGGATGTGACCTTTAGATATAGATAGAGGAAGTGTGAATGCATATATTCTCATATGGTAAATTATATATTGACCATAATGACAATTTTCCCTTGTTCCTTTCTAAACAGTTTCATTTTAGGTATTTGTATGACATCACAATATAATTAGTCTTCCATAACATATAATCTTTGGGTCAATTCTGTTTGTTTAGAGTCTTAAACACTGTACTGCATTTTGATAAAGACATTATACTGTTTAATGCCAGTGTACTATAATATCTTCCATCAAAAAGTGAAACATAGGTAATAATCTATTATGTGAGGCTATTAACTTATCTATCATTGCAAAACTAGAGCCACAGATAAACCACCTCCTATCCCTTTGTGGTCAGAGGTAATTCTTTTTGCTTATTAGCTGTGTATTGGTTTTACAGATCTTGTCACTGGTGCCACATTTTCTGTGGTCATTTTCTATTGTGGAATGTTCTCTAATGACAATTGCATGGCAATTTAATACAAAACTGAATTCCAGTGGTGGAGGCCAGTGTCTTATCTACTTAATTGTTTAGTGCAGACAGAAATTTTCGCTCTGATTTCTTGACTCACAAGGATAAATGATTATCCTTAGGAAGTAACTTACTTGTCTTCTGGTCATGTGTAAGGCTGTGTTTGAGACTATGATGCTTGGCCGCAGGCACAAGGCACTTTTTTGTGAGATTGAAAGGGGTGCTGTCACCAGTTGCATCGCAGCCCTGCAGCTGATATCCCAGTGCACAATACTTGCAATTGGCATAGCAAGCCAACCAGCTGCAGATCAAGTTAAGCAGCTACATCTCTCCCTGCCTGTGGCCCTCACTACATAGTAATTAATGTAGGCTTTCAGTACTCCCAGGGTTTTTGCCTTGAGAATTAGAGAGGATATACATCTTCCTAGTGATGCTGTGCAGCACTGAATAGACATGGTTGTTTATGGTGAAACAAAACTGTGATGTAAATAAGGAATCAGTTAAATCCAGTTAACTATTTACTAGTTTTGAATGGCAAAGTATCCAAGTCCATGAACCTCAGTACATAATGATAGCTTGATATAAATGTCTTCTAGAAATTAAAATGCACTGAAATGCTGCATTATATATATAAGCATTAACAAGCTTTTTTTCTTTCTTTCTTTCTTTTTTTTCCCCACACTCTCTATTTGGTCTTCTAACAAAATCCTAATCAACAAATTTTTCTATCGTATTACATTTGTATACATATTTTATACATTTACTTAAAAATACATGGAGAGATCTAAATATACTGCTCTTTATGGTAGTGTAGGTTTAGCAAGCATGCAGAAAGCTGTCTTGCCAAAGCATGCAAAAACATTTTGGCTTGACTGTACTAGTATCTTTTTCTGATCAAAGTAGGTTATTCTTTTGGACATATATTTTCTTATACTGAAAATGCCTGGAAGCATAACAGGAGTAAATTAATTGCATGGTAACAGTTACAGCACTCCCCAAGTTCAAAGGATGCAAAGTCAACAAACAATACAGTAAATGAGAATGTGAAGACAAAAAGTTTCTCTGTATCTTTTTGGCAAGGATGTAAGCTGGCATTGTTGCTCTTGGAATATCATCTTGGACCTCTGCCAGCTGTGCAGCATCTCAAAACATTTTCTGTTTTTGTTTCTTGCCTTTGTAGCAAGTGCTGAGTTTTGCTTGGAGATTTTAGCTTTTAATGAGTGAAAATCAGAGTGAAGTCCAGCTAAAGACTTCAACTTTTTCCTGTAATATCTGCAATATTGAGTTAAATTAAATAGGGCAAAATTAATCTCCAGTCAAGTAAGCTAGAGCTTTTCTGTTGACTGTTAGGTCAATTTTCATGCAACGCCCCTAAATTTTAAGGAAAAGCTTTCCCTTTGCACTAGGATTAACTAATAACTACAAAATCTTCAGTTGTGTAGTGCATGATCCCATTAAAGCCATCTGTAACATCTTGCCTTCAAATTATAATTGGGGTGCATCATTAACAGTGAAACTGAATTGCAAGTGGTGATTGTAGAGAAAGAAAACTGTACTGACTTCAGTAGGATCAGCATTTCATTTAGAATAATCTTATCTGTAGAAGATCATGGCCTGTGTATGGAGATGCCTATGTAGAATTTTAGTGCGTAAGAAGGATTTTTACTTGAGAAGGATTTTTACTTGTATTTATTGCATTATTTGTGCAGAGGATTAACTTTCAGTTGGGATAAGCATTGTGAAAAGTCAGAAATCCCATAAACTTTAATGAAGTTGTACTGCCTGAACATTCAGCTTATTGTGTATGTTCATTGTATTATTTTGTTTTCTATTTATCTATTGAATAGTTTTGTGCCTGCAGTATCCCAAACATGTATGGACAGTTAGTCTGAAAGTATAACGGGGACAAAGAAACAGACTTTGCCAAAGAAATATCAACAGGACTATCAAAAAGCTACTTAAAATGTTTAAGGTTAGTATTTGGAAAGAAGCATTGGTGTGCTGATGGTCATGTGGGGTGATTGCTTGCTCTCTCCCCTCTGTGACGCTGAACAAGGATGTACCTTGCTTAATGTCACCTGAAGGCAGCAGAAATAGTCAAGGCAGTTTATGGAGTTCTGATAACTGTGTTGGAGTGTGCTGGATTTCTGGAGAGAAAACATCTGTTTTCTAGAAGTGTGAAATGATGTGAAGTTAAATTGCTGATGTTGGTAAATAATTGTGGAGGGCACTAGGCCTATTTTTACAGGCAGTGAGTCCAGGAACCAATGATCACTTGCCTCCTGAAGAACATGATAGTCCTGTTCCACTCAAGGCTGCACTTAGTCACATTTGTTTCAAAATCAGAATATTTGTGCCTGGCACTCACAACAGCATTTTTCTAATATTGTCTTGATACAGGAGCTGATGAATCTACAATTTATAAGTGGCCAAATGCATGCTCTCCATGACAGGGTAGGGATTGGAGCAAATGTAGCAGTTAAGCCAAATAATAAAAGCAGAAAGAAAAGAAGCCAACTTTCCTTCTCTTACTGTCACCTTCAGAAGGCAACTGTCAGAGAGACTTTTCTGTTCAGTGTATATCAAGGTACGGATCTGGTTTAGATTTTTGTGAATAACTTGAGCAGGTGAGTTAGCTTTGATGTCCTGCTTAGTGTGGTGGAAAGACCTATGCTGTAGTCTAGCATACATGCCCTCCAGCTAGGGCAGTGCTGCCTGTGCTCCAGCCTTCCAGACTCAGCTGAGGAAGCTTTGGTTTGTTTGCCTCACGGAAGTGGAAAAGGGGATGTAATTTTTTAACTTTTTGTTGTTGTTGTTATTATTTCCAGATTAAGCCCAGTAGGTAGATATTATTCAAATTTTAAAAATTACAACTTCAACCACAGATAGAGTATGAGATTAAATGTTATGGCCATTTGAACTCAATGGAAACTACTTCTGCAGACTGTGAAGACTTAGGGTTTGGACAGAAGTGACTTAGCACATTATGGAGGAAGGTGCTTGAACGTGCTTCTGAGGGCAGCTGTTTCCTTTCACTTCTGCCCTGTACCAAAAGAAATGAAAGAAGAAAGAAAAACATAGGAAGAAAGAGAAAGAAAGGTGTGAGAGACAACTTTCATGTACAACTGAAGGGGTAAGTGGACGAAATACTGGGAGAGTGAGAAGAGAGGAAGGTCACTGTCCCAAAGGACAATGCCAGATGACTACAAGCATAGATTAAGAATTTTGCAGATATGAATTTTATGCTTATTGTTTGATTTTTTTTTAGCATAATTTGCACTGCTTTATTTTCATGACTGTTGGTAAGGGGTCAGATTGCTCTAAAAGCAAATATTTTATTGTATTACATATAGTGGGATATTCAGAGACACTGCTGACATTAAACCTACTCAGATCAGTTATGCCAACTGAGATGACAAGAACAAAAAAATCTGAGGATCTCTTACAATTGATATGCAGAAATACCCTCTTGTTTTCCTTGCATAATTATAACACATGTGCTTAGGTCTCCTGATGTTGAACAACCCTTTATTGCTTAAATTTATCCAGGTTTCTGTGCTGAATCAAAAATGTTCGGTGTTGAAGAGAATGCTTTGGCTTTTGAATATGGAGAGAAGGAGACATTTCCCATCACTGTGACTAGTCTTTTTGTAAGTAAAATAAATGGTGGCTGCACAGTCATTTCTAACAGAAATTTAAAACCAAACCAACAAAATAACACACAAGCAAAAAACTGTTTTTTAAATTATGGTTAGCAGGGAATATGCATAAGTGTACATTAGAAACATTTCCATTTGAACACCAGAGAATACTTTTTTCTCCTACAGAATAGCTAAAGAAGTTCAAAAAATACAAAAGTAAACCATCATTCATGTTTATATGAATTCTATATAACCGAACAATCAGGACTTCAGATATTTACTTCAGAACTCTTTGAGTTTTTCTTCACTTTATTGTGTTTATATTCTGTATGTATTCATTCTTGGATTCAAAGGAGTTAAAAATAATATAAGGAAGCCTAGGGTAGGACAGGCGTAAACAAATGTAACTGTCTATGAGAAATGACACTCACATATTTTTCACTGATCCTTGAAAAATTAGATGAGCCTCAGACTTACTTTTGGATTTATCTGCCCTGGTTGTGCTAATGTCTTAGGGCATTCCCAAAATACCCCGAAGGAATAAAGTCCTTATTTTATCTCCTTTTTCTTGTAAGAGCAAAGATGAACAAAGTGAAATATCGATTCAATTGCTTAATAAACTGATAAACCTGTAGGAGAAAAATGTTTTCTGCTGCATCATTTGTCATAAATGAAATTATTAAAATTAAAAAACAAAACAAAACAAAACAACAACAACAACAAAAACAACACAAAAAACCAAAACCCTGGTGGCCTTTGCCAGAAATTGGATAAACACAGTAATCGTAAAACAATTGTTCCTTCAGTCTTCCTAATCTCTGGAGACAACTAAATTAACACAGAAATCAAAGAGCTTTCATTTACCCTGAAGCCAAGTGTTCCTAAAACCACGAAAACTCTTATTGATACAATTTATTGCAGACTCTGTCCTGAAGCAAAAAAAGTAACTTTGCACATATTTATTTTAATACTTTTGCCCTTTGACTAAAGCTTGCTTTTGACTTGCATGGTCCCATTGAAGAGCAATGCCTGGCAGTAACATACTTACTTAATAGCCTCAGTGCATACTTCATCTGTTTATGCAGAAGCACCATTTTTGTGCACACTGCTGAGAATAAAAACCAAGGTTGATATACCAAAAAGGAAAAACACCACTTACCAATTTTCACTTATGCTCTACAAACAATCTGCATTGAATGTAATGCATAGATCTGTCTTTCATAGAAATGCGCAGCCAAGTAAGTGTGAAACAAAGTTGGAGACGTTTTTAAGATACCCCTAAAGTGCAAAGACAAGCTTTCAGAAAACATTTATCTAATAAATAAATTTGATGAGGAATACTAGAAAAGACAAAACAAAAAAAAGCAGAGGAATTGTAGTTTCAAAATGCACCCAAGTTAGGGAATTGGAATCTGTAGTCCTCTGCAGTCCTCTGCAGACATCCAGAAAGAGCTAATGCCATTCAGAGACACATTCAATCGAATAACACGTGTGAAATGACCCTCACTGAGCCCATTTCTGATCATCCTGTAGATGAGGTATTAAGGAGGTATTCCATGTCTGCCAAGGCTTTGGACTGGAAGTGTTGTCCAAATGCTCCTTGAACTCTGTCAGCTCAGGGCTGTGACCACTGCCCTGGTCCATGCCCACTGCCCTCTGGAGAAGAACCTTTTCCTAACACTTGTCCTGATCCTCCCTTGACATGGCTCAATAATGTTCCATCACTGCAGGCTGCCATGAGACCTCCACTCAGCTTTCTCTGCTCTGGGCTAAGCAAACCAAGGTGCCCCAGTCATTCCTCATAGATCTTCCCTCCTGACTCTTCAACATCTTCATAGCTCTCCCTTGGACATTTTCTAATAGTTTCACGTCATTCATATATTGTGGCCTCAAACCCACATTCAGCACTCCAGGTGAGGCCACACAGTCTAGAGCAGAGTGGGACAGTCCCTCTTCTTGCCTGGTGGCAGCACTAGACCTGATGCATCTCAGGGTATGTTGGCCTTTTTGGCTGCCAAGGCACAATGCTGACACTCATTCAACTTCCTATCACTCAGAAACCTCAAAGATCTTTCTGTGGGGCTGTCACTAGCCTGTTGTCCCTTTGTACATTTATCGAGGCTTGAGGCTATAAACTAACATTTCTGGAATCAGGACTCTCCAAAGTGTTTCTAACAAAATATTCCATCACTTCTTGTCACTTTTTATTCAGTGTAAGTAAGACAATTTCTGAGATCAACAATGAAAAGCAATACATAAAATCTAAGACAAATGATCATAAATGGCCCTGCCAAGAAACTAGATCATATATAATTTAATGGACGTAGAAGGTCATTCTAAATGCATTAAATAAAAAATCACATTACAGACAGCCAAAGCAGATCCTTATGTCATTGTGATATTGAGATGGAGAGATAACAAAATTGAGAATAATTTAAAAGGGAAAACAAAACATGCAAGGTGTTTTGGAATGTATTTTGCTAACTTTCTTTAGGGTTACATCCTAACAACAAAACAAAAACAGTGGTTATTTGGCACATAAGCTGACAAATGCCTGCAAAGTTTTTACAAAGTTTAAGTGCTTGGCAAATGGAAAACCACACCTTTCTACAGCAGTGTCATGCTAGGCACCACAATATGAAACACCACAGTCATCCATCACTATCAGGACTCCGGAATTCATCCTGTTTTGGAGTACACAACAATAATTCAGATTGAGATTAAGGATAGCATTTAATAAGGGAAGAGGAATGAATGCTATCATCTGCATTCAATATTGGCAGAGTAAACACAAGAGAGCACTGACTCTTTTATCTCCTTAAAGAGTTGAAAATGTGTGTGTGCATTTTCATAGTATTATTCACACAGAATTTGTGTGTCCATTTTCAATCACATGGGAATTTTTAATATAATTTTTCTTAGCAATATTTGAAAATGTCTCCTACAAATAAACTTGGCATGCTTCCATGTCGAACTATTATGATTATTTTAATTATGCAGAAAATTGAAGCTGATAGTGCTATTTTACATGGTGTCAAGACATTAAAGTAAGCTATGTAGAATATAATCAAAATTGCAAGCACTGTGCTTTTTTGCTGTCGCTGCAGAAATGGAACTGAAATGGAACTTTCCAAAAGTCCACCACTTCGCAGCAACTGGTGTCCTCTGCGAGAGGGAGGCACAATGTTGGAATTTTTCTATAGAAGATATGTAAATGCAAAGCAACCTGAGAGCAGTAAGTACCAACGTGCTCCCAGTGAAGATTTAAGAGCCAGACTTCACATGCACTGCCTGTTCTGCCGTGTGTGGTGTTTTTTGGAGAAAGCATTTAAAAAGATCAAAAAATTCACAAGAGCATACGCCCTGCTGCCTTTTACTGCTCTGGAGCAGGGCTGAATGTGAAGGACTCTTTCAAGCATCTCTATTTCACCCCACATGTTTGTGGGATAGAAGATGATGTTTCCTTGCAGATTTCTTTGCCCTGAGCACAATAGACTTATCCCTGTGAACAACAAAAGACTAAGCTTTTAGTGATGCTCTTGATAGTATAACTTGAAGAAGGAGCTGTACTTTTCTGCCATATTTATTGCAGCAATTCTCCTTACTGCAAATAAAAACATTTCGTAAGATTTCCCTGTTTTCCTTAACTCTCACTGATTTCAGGCAGTCTCACTTCCAGTAGTCTTCATCAACCTGAAGTGTGTTTCTCTTCATTTGCACAAGAACTGCATAAATGCATTTCTGCCTTCATTTGAAGGAAATCTTGGCATCAACCAACTCACGTAAGGCATATATGTCTTCCTGTGCAATATGTTTTTATCTTTCCCTCCCATTTAGTGGTTTCCAGATCACTCAGTTCCTCTGAATTGTCCTGTGGCACTCGCAATGGGTCTGTCTTGGAGCTATCCACTGAGACAGATGCTTTTAAAACCTTGAAGAATCAGATGTCTTCCTGTTAGGGCAATTTCTGCTTGAGTTAACTAGTCTATTTCCATGTTTTTCTCAGCTTAAGGGTCTGCCAAGTGCTAGGAGCCTACATTTCATTTAATTTTAGAATCTTCAAAATATTCAGCATGCACCAAAAACTAAAGAGTAATTCACATCTCACGGTTTCCATATAAGTGGAATGATGCACTAAAACTGAGAAACGTTTTTTGAAAGTGATACGATAAATTATTTCTACAGTTCACTAAGATATCTGTTAGTCTAGAATTAGTTCCCTATAGACTACAGATTGACTATATTTTCTTTCCTCAATGAGATTTATTTTTCCACAACACATGCTGTTTGGAACTGTGATGTAAGTTCAATTTTTAGCAAGTTTGCAGATGAAAGTAAAATCTGAATCTGTTGCTTGTACCTGAAAAAGCATCTCTAATATAAACATTGCTGTGTAAGTGAATAGTGCTAAGAAAGTATAAGAGAGAATATTTAAAGTTACTGTATTATATTATGGTAGTTAAAGTTTTTCTACGTGTGAACATCTCCCTTAAGCAAATAGCACTGTGATGAAAAATGATTGTTTCATTTCTGAATTTCGAGCTGGCAAGCTATAATCATTCTATCAGATTTTCTCACAACGTCAGATTGAATTTATTGTTTCCAGTACACTGGGAAGCGTGAGCCTTATGTGAGCCAGTGTGAGATGAGGTGCCAGAGAAAAAGTTCAAAATCACTCAGATGGAACAACTTTTAAGATGGGCTGTGATTTTCAGTATCTAAAAAGATAAAATGTTTGCTTCCTGAAATTAGCATTTGAATTTCTCTATGAAGCAATGGGAAGGGCTTCATTTAACTTATCATGATGTCCATTGCTCAGAAAATTCAAGAACTTTTGGTAGTATTTTAAGAAACTTGAATAAATGTCAAAGAGCATACAATTTATACAATTGCTGCTCTGAAAGTAATGTCTCCTCTTTTATTATGTTGGCATATGACATCAGAGGTGGATGCTGGTGGTTTGGCAGTAGAGGTTGAACCTTCTCCATCACATGTTGTTTCCATGTGACAAATGGCAGCAGAGTGGCATACTGACAGAATGACATCTGAAGCAAAGGTGTGTCACTGAATTCCTCCATGCAGGAGAAAATAGTCTCCTTCAGCTAAAAATATATCTTTTATCAATTATAAAAATAATTTTCATCTTTAAAATTTTTAACAAACCTTGCATAAATTAAGAAGAATGAGAAAAAGCAATGTGATATTTCCCAGAGATCTACAGAGCAATATTCCATACTGTTTCTTTCTTCTGAGCTTTCAAGGAAAATAAAATAATATTGAGGAGATCCATTTTCTATGGAAACCCATAAACAGGCTAGCCACTACTAAAATGCAATTGAAAAAAAGAAACATAGTTTTCCATTTACAAGAGATTGTTCAAAAGGCAACTGACTGCATCAACTTTTCTCTCTCACAGTTCTGATGACAGTACTAAATGTAACCTCAAGAACCACTTGGGATTTTCTTAGTATTTCTTTGACAAAGAGCTATTTTTTTGGTCGACGTAGAAAGTGAAATACACATAGGCAGTAGGAGCATGGAGGAGTTTATCCTTATGTTATTTCTGGTATAAGCAAGGAGGCTCGCAAGCTTTGTTTGTCTGGATGCTATCAGTGAGGATGGTGGTGGTGGTGGCAACAGCAGCTCCTGACCTGCCAATCCCTCTCAGAGAGGGAAAGCTATTTCTCAAGCAAACACATAGTTTACCTGCACTGTATGTGCATTATATAGTGAACTCCTTCCAAAATATCTTACCCAATATGCCTATGTGTGACAGTAGATGTCCTGTGCAAGGGCAGCTGAGCGTAATTGGAAAGTTTTGTTTTCTATTATATAGCATGATAGTATGTTTGTGCCTTTGAAATGTGGGGTAGAAACACAGCAGTCCTGTCCATGATCTCTAAAGCTAAAATCCTAAGTTAGTGTCACCTGTGTTAACTCTTGGCATTGCACTTACAGCCAATACTGTACCACTGTTTACAGAGCACACTCCAGTACTGCATGTACAATCCAGAGCTGAGATTTCCTGAGGAGAAAGTGCCCAATGATGGAATTTTACTTTCCAAGTGTGGATGACTGAAGGACAGTTTGAAAAGCCTTCTATCAATATTAGAGGATACTTGAAAGAGTTTAGAATCTGCTTCCGTAAGTTGCTCAGAAATCCATTTCGTTTAAAATAGAAAGTAACAGAGCAGGAATGTAATGCTGGTCAGGTGGAGTAGACTAGCTTCTTGCCTGGTCTTCTTGCTACCTCTGCACTCACTGCAGAAATTGTGTCTCTTCCTTTGTCCAAAGTCAGAGGAAGGACCAGGCAGGGGGCCAAAGCTCAGTGTAGCTGGCTTGTATTTACATACGAAATTCATCTGATGGCAGCTTTCCTCTGCGGTAGGCTTTGAGATGAGGAGGAGACAGATGTGAGAGAACATGTGAAGGCTGGCACTGGCTTTGAGACGAGGAGCCACAGGCTTCCGTGGTGCCGCTGGTAAGTCTGGGAACCATGTGCTCGTTAAGCAGTAATAAGTCACTGGGTTTAATATTCATTTTAGGTTTAAATACCACAACAACTAATACCAATATGCATTATGCAAAATTGCCACAGTGACTGCAGGCTTCAAAACAAAGATAAACAATGCTATTTTCCTTTTCTTATTTTTTATACAATTATATAAAATAAGATTGATAATGCCTGCTGACATTTTCTTCCTTAAAATTCTAGGCCAATATTGTGCTACTAACGAGATTTCAAAAGCAGGAGATGAAAATAATAAATTAAAAGCAATCTTTGCATATTTAGCTTTCCATTTCAGAAATCTCTGTATTTATCTACATGGTCTTCTACTTTTATTATCTTTTATTTTGTCTCTCTCTAATCTCATTATTATATCTTAATTCTAACCTGTTCTGCTTTTCGCAGTAAAGCTTGCTGTAATCTTTTCTGATAACATTAGCATGGGAAAACATTTTTATCAAATGGATAATAACAAAATAAATTACTTTTGCTCATTCTGCAATAAATAATATGATCTAAAGTTCATGATGTTGGGGGCTGAGGCTGTAAAACAAGATGTTACAATTCATGATTAGCTTTCTAAATAATGAATACTGAATCAAATGTAAGTCATAGCTTCAAAACTCATGAGTTTTCAGAATTCAGGATCAATAAAAAGCCCAGGTTTATCATGTCTGACTACTTATCCAAGGGGCTGACTGCTAATTGCTTTGGTCTTTATCACTTTTCAAAATGGAGCTGTTCTTTTTGAGATCTTCACCTGCAGAAAATATATATTACTGCAAAATGCCACCAAAACAGAGATTACCACTTAAGATTTCTTTGCCATTTCTTAACACAAGAGGAAATAGCAGTCCATCAGAAAGGGGATAGGCAGTTAAAGCATCTTATTCCTTCTTTTCACTGGTCTTGGATTAACCTGTTTGACATTTTAGATCATTCTGATATGTCTGCTTATTTTAGTGGAATCCCAGCAATGTGAAGTTACAGCAATGCAGAGCTGAGCCAAAACCCAGCTGTTTGTATGATCTCTTTAACTGTTTATCTCATTGGGAATTGCCATCTCCTGCCAAATCAGATGTGATTCAAAGGACATTTAAAAACGGATGTGATTATTTAGACATGTCCAGACAATCATTTAACTCGTGCAATGTGAAAATGTAAGTTTTGCTCACTTGCATGATATGCCATTGGCCTTGCGAGGGCTAGCCTATATTTGAAGGCATTTCATTGCATTCTCTTTTTTTTTTTTTTCTTTTTTCTTTTTTTCTTTCTGATAGGAAATGTTATCTGCAATGAATTTTGGTATATTACTCAGAGAAGCCACATGAGCTCTCAGTCTGGAACTGTGTGACTTGGATGCCTTGCCCATACAAATCAACTGCATGTTTTTTGTACGCTGTTCCAGAAACACTGGCCTTACTGGACATCATCTGTTCATTTGCAGCAAATCCAATATATCTTCTAAACACTGGGCTAACTGCCCATGGGTTACGTGCTGCATTAGATGCATACTTTAATCTAGTATATCCCTAACAGGAAGACGCTAACCTGTAGAGAAGTAGGACGAGAAAAAGACTGTCACCCTGAATTTCAGGATTAATTCAATGATCTTTTTATCATCCCAGTTTATGTTTTCTTCGATTTTTGCTTTTTCTTAAATTTTTGATTTTTACTTTTGTCAATCTTGCCACATTTAACATCCAATTTTTTAATACTCTGTCTTTTCCAGGCTGCTTCTGGTTCAGCTCACCTAACAGTTGTCAGATATAGCATGATCTTTTTAACTTTAGCATCTCGTTCCATTTACCATCATTCCTAATTGCTATATGAAGGTGAATTCCCATCTGTAAATAGAGATTTGGTATCCAGGCCAAGAGAAGCAATCACCCGTGTCTACATTTCATAGTGTCAGGTGATATTTTATACACAGTTGTTTTCACAGACCTCACAGATCACTTGCAGTACAATATTTGGGGAGCTGGAAGCCTGACTTAATGATCACTGCTCATGCACATGGTTGCTGGAAAATCATTCATGAATATTGAATCCAATTATTATGAACAGGTGCAACCAAGTAACTACATTTCATGCTCACTGAGATATCACAAACACTTAAATTTGATAAAGTTAATACACAAATATATACTCTGGTACACAACAATAACTTCATGTACATTCATGAGAATGCAAATATAATGATCATGATTCTCAGTTTTGAGGTTGTGATCAAGATTCATTTGCAGTAATTTTAAACAATTATTTCACCTCATTGCTTAATTCTTTCTACAGCTGTGAATTCAATAAGGGGAGAAAGAAAATAGCTTGTGGTAATCCCTTTCATACTGAAAGCTGTAACTCGTTTAGGTCTCTGGGAGAAAGAAAGGAAGTGATTGGTGCTTTCTGAAAATCTTTCTGAGCTGCATTGTTCTGGTATTTCCAGTAGTAGGTATTTCCTTTTTCAATTGGGACCAGGTCCCAGGCTCCTTCTGGAACTTGAATGAGTCAGTCATGGGCACATACTTGAGCATGTACTCACAGTATATGCTCAAGTCTATTGGTTATACACTTTTGACAGCAACTATGTTTTCAATCATATGGAAAAGCATAGCAGCTTGTAGGTAGTCAAAGCCAGTTCACAGAACTCTGGTGCCACCGTTGTCAATCCAGCCCCACCAGGAACTTTTTAGAATCCAATTTAAAAATATGGAGATGGCTCCAAAAGTAATGCCTCCTAATTTATTATGTTGGCCCATGACATCAGAGGCTAATGCTGCCAGTATGGCAGTAGAGGTTGAACCTTCCCACCAATATTCCATCATATTTTGTTGCATCTGTGTGACAGTTGGCAGCAAAGAGGCAGTCTGACAAAAAATGGTATCCGACATGGAAGTGCATCTGTAGCAAAGAGATGTCACTGAATAATTCATCCATGCAGGAAAAAATGGCACCCATTGGCAATTGTCAATGCTTGTTGAATGTTTCTGGGTAACAACACGTGGATGTGAGTGCAGTGAGGTGGTGGGTGGTGCATTTCAGCAGTGTTGACAGTGACAGTCAGCTCCACTGGTGCAGATGTTTACGAGTGCAGTATGAAGGCTCTTGTTCATTGCGGGCATAGCTAATGTTAGTGACAATGTTGAAAAATAGTATTTTGTAGCCGAAAATTTGCTCTGTCAAATAGAGTTGTTGTATTCTTTGTATCTGTTGCAGTTTCTGTGGACATAAATAGGAGTTCTTACTTTCAGAGAGACCTACATATCTTTCATCACTGCAGAAACCAGAATGTAAGAACTGGCATGAGAAAACCATGTCTGATTTCCTATCCAAATTATATTTAATTTCCCAGGATTGTCCTTTATCTTGCATAATTCTTCCTGCAATCTATGTACCAAAAGAAAAGAAGCATATCCTTTTTTAGCCTTCTGCTGAAGATAACTTCCTGTCTTTCAGAATGAATGACTTTCTTTTATACCTAAAAATCCTTTATCTGCATGTATTCTCATAGTTTGTATTCTTTCCTGAGCTAGGATACCACAGACCTAACCAGTGTTGTTCAGCTCCATTAATGCTTTTTGATTTGGAAGCACAAATGGTGAGTTGCCTCCACTGCTCTGCTGTGATTGCACATTGCGTTCACAAGGGAAAAATGTCCTTATGAAAATTGGTCTCATTATTTTTATGCTTCATAGTTTCCAATAAAACAATTTTCACCAGAAATGGGACTGTTGTACATCACTGAGCAGAAAAGGAAATGTTCAGCAACCTGATAACCTTGTAGAAATTGTTGTTGCTGACCTGAGCCCTGAGCTGAAAGTTAAAATGATAACAGCAATAATAATAACAATACTATTAATCTCTAATGACTTTAGAAAATACTTCTTCCTGTTTAGAGAAATTCTGTGTACTGAATCTTTGAGTTCCATCCTCAGTATTCACTTGGGTTTCTGTATATAATGATTCCTTATATATTTATCAAAAGTCATCTTCATCAATTCAATCTTCTGTCTGTTGGGCAATATTCTCCCTCATTATTTCCAAGGTGATGGCAGGGCACTTTGCAATTGGCCTTCAGTGAGATCTGCTAACAAAATCTCTCTCTCCTTTCATATTTTTCTTTAACAGCAAGGAATAAAAAAAGGCATTTGAGTATTCCATAACCTAGACAAGGACTGAAAGTGGCCTGAATATGTCTGGAATAATAGAGACCAATTTTTGATTAGTTCTGGTTATGTAAAACCAAAGATAATTAGGATTTCCTCCAAAACTTTAAAATTAAAAAAGGAAGAGATTATTAAAGTCTATCTAAATGGTCAGGTTAAGGTTTGCTCCTCAAGTTTTTAGCTTTGGCACTTCTTTAAGCAATGTGGAAATATAGACTATGAGTAACTGGGATATGCAGCACAGAATGGTACTTGGAGGTTGAATTCATACTCCTACCCAAATCAACATACGCATGTGCACGCTCATTTTGCATTTGACTCAGGCAAGGACAGGAATTCACTTCAAAGTGTTAATACTGCCTACTTACCAGGAGGGTGACTTGGAGAACAACCATTTGCCTTTCTTATGTTTAGTGGGCATCCACTGGGCAGATGTAGGATAACATATTTTAGATTAAGCCTTGTGTAACTGCTTAGAAGATGCTGTGTCTTATTTACATTTTACCATCTCTCAAGGAGAATGTAATGCTATTATCCATATGTCATCTGCTTATTGTTCTTGAATAATGCATACAAGATTCGTGACTTCCCACTGTGGTACTTCATACTCATGTTGCTGTAATATTACATCCATTTAAAGCTGCACTAATGTAGTGGCAAATAAGGCTATCCATACATTCAGCATGTCTTTTCTATCCATAAAGAGAAGCCAAGTCACAGATGGTTTTTACAGTGTTATAATTAATAATCATGGTATCATGTTAGTGTCATCTTAACATAATAAAAAAGTGGATCTATAAATTGTTTTCAGCTTTTTCACAGCATTTACAATGACTTTTTGTAGCTTTTCCCAGCAGCGGGATCTCTGACAGTAACATTTTTTGAGCTGCATTCACAAAGAATAATTTCAGGTTAATGATTTTTTTCTTGGATACTATTTGTGAAGTGGCATAATTAATTTTTTTCTATCATTTTTTAGTCTAGTTCTTTATAGAGCTAGATTTTTAAAGCAAAAATCTTACCTTTTCTTTCTTAGATTTCCAAGCAAATATACTTTGCAAAACATAGTGTGTTACATCATTCCTCTGCTGGCCTGAATTTTGAACAGCCTAAGGTGAATGTCATTTCCAAGTCTCAGCACCATAATATCTATGTGGGCAGCCCAAACCTGGATTGATACAGAAATACTACCTGTTCTTTTGAGGTTACCTTTACTGCCAATTCTGTAAAGCAATGGAGAAATATACAGTATGGGCATTGGTGAACTGTATCATTGTATGAGTATGTATTTTCTTCAGTGATTTGTGGTGTTTCCTGTTCTTTCTCTTTGCTGAAAAGACATGGGTATGTTTCTAATTGAGCTCATGTTCGGTCTTTTTTTTTTTTTTAAATCTGGATAAGATTATACCAAGAGTAGATGCAGCTCTAAAACATTGCTCTTTCTGTAACCTCTAAAAGCACATTCGAAGTTCCCTTTTAATCTGGGTTTCCCTCAGTCTTGTTCCCACTCACAGGGACAAACCCTGTTGAGGGGCTCTGTATTACCATCTTGATCTTGACAGTAACTGGCAGTGAAATGGCATACTGGGATATGTTAAGGGTGGAGATATCCTAGCAGTTTATTTCAAAACCTCAAGTCAAATTTCATTCAAGTTCTTTTTTTGAGAATGGTGAAGATTCAGCATATTCCCAGATTCACCTGGCTGTTGAGGAGCCCAGCCATTGTTGTACGTTACAGGCATGCTGGAGGGAATGTACTCTTCAAGAATAGTTATGTAATTTGATTTTCTTACCTAAACACATGTACTGTTTCCTACTCAGAAAAGAGTAAATATATTTTTATACACAATAGCTGTAAATTACCTGATGTCTTCTGCTATTCTAAATCGGAGTTCTTTGTTGCAATAAAATGCACAAGGAACAAGAAAATATTTACAGTCATATTGTTGTATATTTCAGAAAAAGTCTCTTGCAGTGGCCCAAAGAGATGATATCTAGAGAGTCTAAGGCTACAAGCTTAATGTGTGCCTGGTCTCTCCCAAGCTCCAGTTCTCGTTTTATTGGAAATTTACTGAATCACCACGAAGATTTGAGTTTAGTAAGTACTGATGTCTTCTGATGTATGTCTCTTTGGTTGCTGTTGGAATCCATGGAAGCTTTCAACATCAGCCTGTTGGTGTTGGTACATTCAACGAGTTAAGTACATCTCCTTTTTCAATGATTAGTGTTATAATTTCATCTAGAGATGTTTAGTTTTTAAACTGTGGAAAACAGTGAATCACTGTTCCTAAAGATTTTCTTAGTCAAGAGTCCTAGTCCATTCTGTTGTACTGTTCCTTATCCTGGTCATCTTTGATCTTTGTATTCATATTAATTTTACTACAAAGAACACATCAGCTAAACCTGCAATAATACTATAGACACATATGAAATATGTGTTTGTTTCATTTTTCCAAGATATTTTAAAATTCTTTTGTCTATTATTCAAAGGCAACAACATATATTCAAAAAATGCAATGTATTTTCGGATTTTAGCAATTTTGACAGGGCATTTTAAAAAGTGTTCTGTTCTGGAGGGCACCTTTGCAGATTCAGTTATGCAGTCAGTGCCACTGATGAGTAATCTTGAGTGACTAAAAACTTGGCACCTGCCTTGATCCACCACTATTTTTCAGATATCACATTGATCACTTTTACAGTCTGTTATAAAGAAAGCTTAAACTGAGCTTTTCACAGACTCAGAAATGCTTATAGTGAATATCCCCAATCACTTTTCAAGAGCATCCCATCAAGTTCAGTTGATAAAGATGAGATTAACCTATTATGGATGCCATTTTTCTAAAACACTGATATTTTCATTTGTCAGTTAACGCTGGTGAGAAACAGGTTTGACCTTTAGGACAGGAATATGTGAGAAGTTGTCAAAATGGATCAGGAGCTCACATAAAATAAATGCAATACAGCATTACCAGGAATCCAGAGTTCACTGATCCTTATGGTATTCCAGAAAACCCCTTCCTTCTAGAAACATCAGTGGCAAACACCATCAGATAACCACTTTGCTTAAAGATGAGGGCTGCTCTGAAAGTAACACCTCCTGTTTTATTATGTTGGCCCATGACATCAGGGGGGCAGATGTTAGTGGTACGGCAGTAGAGGTTGAATTTTCCCACCACCAGTATTCCATTACATGTTGTTGCCGTGTGACAGATGGCAGCAGAAGGGCATCTGACATGGAAGTGCATGTGAAGCAAGGGAGTGTCACTGTTAATTCATCCATATGGAAACAATGGCACCCATTGACATTGATCAGTGCTTGCTGAATGTTTCTGGAGACCAAACACTAGATGTGAGCACAGTGAGGTGGTGGGTGGTGCACTTCAGCTGCGGTGACAGTGACAGTGGGTCACCTCTGCTGATGCAGATTTTTACAATGTGGCATGCAGGCTCTTGTTCACTGCAGGTAAAAATGCATAGCTAATGTTGGTGACAGTGTTGAAAAATAGTGTTTTGTAGCTCAGAATTTTCTCTATCAAATAGTGTTATTGTTCTCTTTGTATCTGTTTTAGTTTGAAAATGAATAGGAGGCATTTCATTCAGGATGAACTATTTTAGCATACTTGCAAGGAAGGGGCTAATGAAACAGTGACTGACGTATGCAAAGCATTCCAGCTGCCAATATGGAGCAAGTCTGACTTTCTACAGTTGTGGCACTTCAGCCTTTGTTGTTTTCATATTTGGGACTGAGGGTTGCTGAGTGACATACATTATGAGTTTATAGAGTAAGTTAACGAACTGGAGTTTTCATATTGTCTTGCTATCCTTTTTCTCACGTATTATCAGTACTAAGTGAAAATGTTTTACTTCTTTTGTCTTGACTTTCACCTATGAAAATAAGGTCCCAGTCTCAAGTTTTCATAAATTACAAATATGTATTCACAGCAGAGTGACTGAGTTTAGAAGAGACCTCTGGAGGTCTTCTTGTCCAAAACCCCTGCTCAAACAGGATCACCTAAAGCCAACTACACAGGTCCAAGTCTAGATGGCTTTAGAATAACTCGAAGAATGAAGACTACACAGCTTCTCTATGAAACCTGTATCCGTGCTTAGTCTCCTTCACAAGAAAAATCTGTTTGGCTAGAACTTGCCGTGTTTTAGTTTCTACATTATATCTGATACTATATCATCTATATCATCTACTGTTTGTGAATTTAGATTTTGTGGTAAACAAGGAAGACAGATCATTCTAGACTATTCAAAATTAACAAGACAAATAATACTTACTAATGTATTAGAGAAGTGATGCAGTTATACAGTATTGCTTTAAATAAGTGGTTCTTAGGTTATTATCTTAATAGATTTGCACACCAGAGGTTTATAAGAAAATCTTCTCTTAGGGTGTCTCTCATATTCCATTTCTGCAATGCGTTAAAGCTCACGTCAGCACTCAGAGTAATTGAAAACATAATATTATTGAAGGATTTAATCATCATTTTAATTCTTTGATATTGGCATTTTAACTGTCTTAAAATAAATTTTGGAGCTGGAAATAATGATAACATCAGCATTAAAGTAGCCATTGCGTAGTGGGGAATAGTGGAGGTTAAGATGCAAATGCAGAACATGTTAGATTTACTCTCAGGACAGTACTGAGAGCTCCAGCAGGAGATGACATAGAGCTATCTTCTTCTAGTAAATTCTGCACAGTTGAAAATCTGACTTCATGTTGTTAAATTATTTGTAAACAGATTTGGTGGTAAACGTGTCCTGCAATACAATACAGTAATGTTCTGCTTGTCTGTTTCCAGCAGTGTGTTACTAATTGCTTCATCAAAGAAAACATTGCTCTGAGCTACCATTTCTTTTTTCCTTCAGGTATTAAATAATGAACAACTGGAAACTAGTAAATTTAAAACCATCAAAAAGCTTCAAGATTCTTCTTGGATGAAATCTTTGTTATCCTGGATTTACAAATCCTACTGTAATTCAGTGACAGTCAAACTTACTTTTTCCCACCTTCAAAGCTATAAAAAACTTTGCTTGCTACAGAAATTGCAGAGCTAAATATACCTTCAGATTTCTGTGAATATAAGCCATTTCTCCCTGAATTTTGCTGGCTAGATTGAATTTCTCTCTCTTTTTTTTTTAAGGAAATACGTAACAGTTGGTATTAACTTATTAGGTGTACTTGGTAAGTAAATGTATTTTAAAACTTTTTTACAGAATATTTCTTTCAAAATAGCTGTAAGATACTGAAATACTTGTTTTATAACATCACCTATCATGATTGAATGGAACGAGGTAATGTCCAACACTGTCTGAGTAACTTCATCCTTCTTCCAAATTTGCTGAACGATCATTTACTGTTTCCTATGTCAGATGATCAAGCATTTTATTAATGAATCTTATAAAAAACTTATTCAAAACCATACTGGAATTCAATGACAGATCTGAAAATTGAATGGCTTTTGTGCATGGACCACCATAGGTTGTATCAGGAAGATCCTGATATAACCAAGTAGTCCTCCAAAGACAAACCTCTCTCCAGGAGTAAAATACGAGCTACAGTCCTGGAGGGGGTTAACCCTCAGTTTAAGAATAGTTATTCATTCCTGTAATTGAATACAAAAGACGTAGGGATTGATTTTCACCTACACCCAAATTCATGGCTCCTGTGAGGGTCTAAGCTGCTGACAAATAATTTCAGCTTCAGCCATTGATTATGCTTCCATAGTGAACATTAGATATACACTAAAATTGATATAGCATGTATTGCAGGAGTCATACAATAAGTACTCCCCATTTCTTAGCCAATCTGTCACTACTCTTAAGCTGTGCCATGCACAGGAGATGTAGGATTTGCCTTCCTAAGGAGGAAATGGCCATCAAGTAGAAAAATGAATTCACCTTTATTGTACTGTGGTGATGTGGTGAAGATAATTACTGCAGCTCTATTCCATTTATTTTGAAACACATAGCCTTTGCCTTTTCAAATTGCCTTGACCATATCACCACTCGTGTATTTGCAATGAAAATCTGACATCAGAGGACAGAATAATAACAGGAGAAATCCTCATTTCATATTTACCTTGTTTACTCTCCTGAGTCACTGAAAACACAGTGACCTAGGTCCATGCTTTTATACTTCTTTTTACTATATATACACACATATATAAAAAAATTAGCGTGTGTACTGCCAAACTCTGTAGGTCGCTACTCATCTTCCCAGGTATCTTCACACACCATAATTTCTGGTGCTTAGAATTGGTAGACTGCAAAAAGTAGCACTCCTGTGTTCCCTCTCATTCATACTGTGAATAATCAATTCTCCAAGAATTTTGCTGCTGGTTTCTGACCAGCCAAGCCCATATCAAAACCAGCCAAAGTCTAATCATAATTTTGCCAATTAAAACTTGTGTGCTATCATTTGGTGGTTTTTTTTGTTTGCTTTTTATTTATTTATTTTTATAGCCTAAAGCATACTGTACTGTCTGCTGTTAAAATACAATCCTTTCTGTTTACCTCCTCATGGCTCACTGAAAAAAAAAGATACATGCTCACAATGACAGCTTTCAAAATGTTTTCTCTTTTATTTCTTCAGATTTCTCCTCAAAGCTTCAATTTAATCAATAATTCTAACTAGCTATCAGAGTACTTATCTTTATTTTTCCTAATAAAAATGAATAGTTGGAGTAGAATGTGTCCAAAGCCATTTTTATCCATTCCTTCTTCATGACTTACCTCTTCTCTTTTGTGTAGCGAATTTTAGCATTTCAAATTTTAAGGTAAAGAAAAATCCTCTCCTTGAAGAAGAATTTCTCATCAAGAGAGCCTTTTTTTTTAAAGTAAGGATAGCAAATCCAGCCTGATGGAATAAACACCTTAAGACATTTTCCATACATGACTATCTCTTTAACATAATTAAAATTCTAGAGATTAAATTCTTTGCAGGCTTAACTCAACTGAAAGAATAAAAGACATTGTGATAAAACTGTATGATTACTTCAGTCTCCATGTAGTATAAAGTATAATTCCATAGGATTTCTTCAGTAACCCATGTTCATAGTGATCTTAATTTTCGCTTTGTCAGAAGAGCTTTATGATAGGTTAATTCTTCAGAAATACTTATCATCCTTTACAGCATATTTCATTTATTTCTCCATTATGAAATGCAATTTTTGGAATTATTATTCTTTTTATTATTATTGTTATTACAGAACTTCCAGTGTTGGACAAATTTACTGCTGGTACCTTCCTGTTTTCATCCCTTTTCTTCCAACTCCAGTGCCTAAACAATTGATTGTTCACTTGGAAAAATTTGTTTTCCCTAATGAAAAAAGACAAGACTGCATTGCCTATTTTGTGTGGAACCGGGGCTCCTCCACCTTCTGCATTTTATCCTATTACATCATAAGTCTTACTTCTAGAGAGAAATCAGAATGAGAGATTGCAGCCTGGAGAGCTGCTACTTCTATAGTTGCTACAGCTACTATCTTAGCATGCTCAAACATATTCCTGATCTGCTTTTTTTTTTCCTCAGTTTTTTTTCTGATTAATGGTGGTTTTCCTGATATGTTAGAATATCACTGTTGTATCCGCAGAAATACTATCTCTCATTTGAAGGGTGGTGGGATTTTTTTCAACTTCAATGTTTATTTTGTGCATAATAATACTAATTTCAGTTCCTAATTTTCCAGTAAGGCAATTAGGACACTAAAAGTTCCCAATCAAGGAAAAAATAATTAGTTGCTAGAAGATAAAGATTTGCAAATTTGAACAAATTTGTATGCATTTATGTATATATGAGTTGGTTTGCATGCACAACTTTGAATTTTACATAAATGACATGAACTCATTTAAATATATAAAAGTTAAAATCCAGTATTTTTTCTATTCATGTTATGTGGAATTTAATAGCTTTTTAAAAAAGGCGTGCATTTTCATGTATTGAAATGTAAGCAAAATTATGTATATTCTTCATTAACTTTTGCAGTGTGGATATGTAAGTGAAACTAAGCACTCAAAAGCTAAGCAAAGTTTGTGTTGTTTACATAAAAGTTTTGGTAAATTACATTCTCCACCCCACAAAAGAAAAAAAAAAAAAAAAAGGAAAAAGACAGCATTAAAAACAAAAGAAAGAAAAAAGAAAAAAAAAACAACCAATCTTATGTATTTGTGATTTTGGATAAAAAATGCATTGCTCAAAGACTTTCTTCTCTATGACTCAAACTTTCCAAAGGTTTTGAGTCAAATTATATCTGAGTGTTCACTTAAAAAAAGGAAAAAAAAACCAACAAAACAAACAAACAAGCAAAAACAGAACACAGAGTTCTGTAGAAGATAGCTATGGTAACCAAAAACCTTCCTGTGAATGGCCAAAATACCCAAATGTTGGACTCACTGGAACAGGATATCTGTTGTAAAGGAAAGCTGATGAGAGATGTTCATACTGTTGATTGTTTCAGTCCCAGAACATCACTGGAGCTCAAACTGTTAGCAGTGAAAGAGGTAAGATCTCCAAGACAAAATCTCAAAGAAAGAAGAAAGTGATGAGAGTACTTAGCTCTGATAACTTCAACTCACCTGACTAGCAGAGTTTTGGAAAATATTGGTTGGTTGGCATGATGAACCTTGAAAAATCAGGTGGTTATATTTTTGAGCTGTGGCTTGTTGTTTTTGCTCTTTGCAGTCATTTTGCATTCCTTCATAGAGCCTGAAAGGGAAAAGAGTTAAGGTAATACACATAGATCAACACTGAGATTAGATGTCAATATATTCACTTGACTGTTTCACACATTAGAAACTTATAAGAAAACATTGCTCAGTTGTAACATTAAGCAGCAGGATTGAAGTAAATAAATGCAGGGTGGGCAGCAAGTAGATAGATAACATGTCTTCAGAAAAAATTGAGATAAAGATTTAATATTTTTTGCTAAAGCAAATGTTAAGCCAAATTATGCTGTAATGCGGCTTGTAAAATAGAAGATGAATTACCCTATAATACCCAGAACTTCTAGCATCCACTGAAGGGAATTCCCTTTCATTTTGGGCATGCATCTTCAAGAAAAACTGTAAATGAATAGCGAAAGCCCAAAGAAATATGAAAAAAAAAAAGAATTTGAGAAATGCAGTCTATAAAGAAGCTTGTGAATTCCCATTTGTACTATAGTTAAAAATAGCAAAAATAGCAAAATACATGAAGGACTGTTGCAAAGAAGGCAGCAAATGTTGTTTTTTAATAATCTGTATACAGAAGACAAAATGCAGAAATTGAAGTTACATAGTAGAGAAGTTTCTAATTGCAAGGCTTGCGAGACATCAGATCTGGATAAAGAGGCTGCAGATTATTCTCACTGAAAGACTTTAAATACATATGGAAAAACAACTGCTATAGCAGACACAGTCCCAATTGATCCAGCCTTGGAAAATAAGCCTGGTCTCCTGTTAAGAGCCAGCCACTTGACTTAAACAATACTGTAGTTTATTAAATGTGAAGGAGTGAAAATGACAGAAAACAGAACAGAATGGTGACATATCTCCAGATAGGTACAAACAATGCAGTTTTAATTATACCTTTACTGTTTTTTTCTTCTCCAGCCAAAAGTACTTCCTTTCTAAGTTTGGCTGGACATAATTTTACCTCTAATTTGATTTCATTTTTAAGAATCTCTATTTTTTTTATATACACTCATGTTTTTCAATTTAATATTTAATAAATATGTACAGCTTAAAGGTTTTTATTGCGATGCACCACTTGCTTTAAATTAACCGAAGTTGAATGAGTAGCCACTTTCAAATATTCAGACAAAACATGTTTTAATCTCAAATTGTAGTTGCGTTGCTAATATTTGATAGTTTTCATTTTAGTACAGTATAATTCTATTAAGTAGACATTTGGTTCAACAGTTGACCCCACATATACACCAAATAATATGGTGCTAAGTTTACTTATAAATGAATATAGTATAAAGCTAACTGTTGTTTCTTCGAGAAAAGTCCTCTACAACATAAAATTTCCTCCAAGTCAAAGAAAGTTTATTTCACTTCTGGTAATTTTATTGTGTGTATACTAGGTGGAAATACAGACCTGTGAAAAGGCTCATTTTAGCAGGGGTAACAACTCACAGAAGTTATTCTGAGGAATAGGGTGGAATGAATCATATTCATATGTGTGTGTGTTGGATAGCAAAAATCAATGCTTTCTCTTAGCAAAGACACTCTCGGGGATAGAGAAATCAGAGCTGCGAAAAACCTAACAAATTTTGCCTGACAGATTTTCCAGGCAAACTACACCACTGGTGCACTGGGAGTGTGCTGACGATGTCAGTCCCTGTGCCAGTTGGTGCAGCCCTGCTCATGGCAGCTCGTTTTGGAGCTCTAGGGAGACCAATAGCTCCCCCCATTGCCCCAACACACCCAAGATGCTGGTAAGCAGTCCTGGGGCTGTGAGAAGCCAGAGGCCTGCCCTGTGCAGCTTGGTGGAAGATACAGTGCACGCGGAGAGATGAGCCCAAAAATGCACAGAAAAACAGGAAAAGGCAAATGTGGAAGGGAAAGAGAAAGGATTTCGGGGTGAAGGGAAAAAATTGCTTAAGTCTCTATCCTATTAGCATCAGTAGCACAACCTCTTCTAGCTTCAGCAAGAGACAGATGTCATCTTATCGGCCTGCTTTGGTCCTGTTCCCTGTGATGCCAGTGCTGTTGGAGGTGAGTAGTGGGCTCACCCCTCTGCAGATGGCTAACAGTGGTCAGGTTCTGGGATCCCAATTACTGCCAGTGTTTAATGGTTCTCTCTTACAGCATCCCAAGCTCCCTGAATCTTTAATAATACTCTTATAAGCAATAATCACATTGGGAATGGTGTATTCCTGCAGGCCTATGCCACAAAATGTAGCCATTGTAGCTGCCTTAAATAGCCCCTGGGGAACAACTGGAAATTTGTTCTTCTACGCAGAAAATGGCCACTTCTGAAAGAGTGGAAAGCATCCTTTTCTTTCCCACCATCACTGGCAATTATACCTCTGCCTCTTTATTTGTCAGAGCTAATAACAGCGTTGTTGTGACTCAGAAAAGCGCGGATAAGACGATGAAAGATGCACCACCAGCATGGTGCAGATGACAACTGAACTGCCTCTGTTCCTTGTTAGTGAAAATTATTTGATGTGAATGTTGTTGCCTAATAGAGCCCCATCTGACTGCAAATGATTGTAGCACAGGCAGCAGAATAATGGAAAATTGTTGCAGCAAGATAGTTGCTAGGATAATGCTAGCAGTAAGAAAGGAAGTAAGTGAAATTGAAAATTACATATTTAACAACCATATAAATGGCAATAATTATTTGGGACCAGAATTATCCTAATTTGCTTCTTCCCATTGTGGGTCATTAATTACAGGAGTAAATCTGCTGATCTGAGTGGGATAATTAAATCTTGACATTGGCATTGCCTTGCCAGTGTGAGCAAGGGGTTTTCAAAACATGGATGAGACAATAGAATTCCTCCCATCAGTAGCATGTTGAGGTGCCATGGAAAGGCGTTGAAAGATGGTACAGAGCAGAACAAGGTGGAAGGCTACAGGGAACCACCCAAGTCTTTTCCAGCAATCCTCTTACCTTTTCAATACTATGGACCAAGAAGCAATGCTGCTTTATGTTAAAAAAAAATAATAATAAAACATAAAAGAGCAATCTCAGGACAAGAAGTTGCTACAGACATATAACCCTCATTTCTAAAGGCAAATTTGCCTTGCTTTCATTTTTCAAAACAAAAGGGCAAGTCTGTTTACTTCATTCTCATCTGAAGTGCTGACCCTTGTTCTGCTAAACAGGATAGAGCCTGCACTGATTCTACCTGGAAAATAACGTAGCTGAAAATTAGGTGGTTTACACACACCAAAAT